ATGTCTTAGTTACTTTTCTCATTGCTGAGACAAAATACCCAACACCCGAAATTAAAGGAGGAAAGGTGTATTTCAGCTCATGGTTTAGAGAGGTTCCAGTCCATAGTTGGCTGGCTCCAAGGCAGGGTGGCGTGGCAGAGGAGAAACAGTCTGCAGCAGTGCAGGCAGAAGGCGGCAGCGGCAATAGCAGAACAGCAAGCCTCCCTTTTCCTTTTATCCCATTCAGGCTACAAGCTTTTTGGGTGGTGCCACCCACACCCAGGGTGGGCCTTCCCATTATTCACACCCAGAACTATGCTAAACCAATCCGTTGACTAATTTAGCTTCACACACTCTTAATCCCAGTATCACACACCCTAATCCAGCCTGCTCCAAAAAAGCCCACCTACGAGCCCATGAGGCTTTGGGGGACACCTAGACACATCCCATACCCCTGTAGGTAACTAAACGGCTCTCCCCAGGAATGGGGGAAAGGCTTCCCTTCATGGAATTCTCTTCTTCCCAAACCAGGCATCTCTTTTTTTTTTTTTTAAAGAATAGGAAATTTTATTGGGAAATAGGAATGGGGAAAAAGAATGGGGAATAGGGATAGTTCCTGAAAGACGGGGCGGGGGCCCAGTGGGTTGCCCCAAGCATCTCTTCAATGCAGGACTCAATATAATTTCATTTGAATGCCTTTTCCAGTGCTGGGGATCGAACCTAGGGCTCTGTGCATGCTAGGCAAGTGCTGCACAGTGGTAGAGCCTCACCTCCAGTGCTCAGAGATTTTTTTCACCATGAGCACATTATCTGGAAAAATCCATCTGCTTCTCCTTCTCTGAGATGTGAGCACCGGTGTGCAGGGGTGCAGGTCCTCGAGCTCTCAGGTCTGCTCCATCCCTAGTGAGCCCTTGCGAGGGGGACCCTGTGAGACAGGCTCGCAGGACCAACCCTACACTAACTCAGCCTGGCTGAGTGACCTTAGGGTGGTCACTGCACGACTCTCAGCTGCCACACGTAAGGACGGATGAAGGTCAGGCGAGTGGACATCTGTGGAACAGCCAGCAGGTAGGAGATACCTGTTGTTATTGTTGCCACTCAAAAGCTACCAGCCCGATTCCTTTCTCCTTACCCGTCATGGAATAGCAAAGCCTCTGACAGCAGCAAATACCTGACCTGATGGCTGTGACTTGGTCCCCTGAGGGCTCCCCAGAAGGCTGTAGGGGCTGCAGTTCCTTACCCTGGGCCTCTCCATAGCTGCTGCTCTCAGAGCACCTGGCTTCCTCGTACAAAGGATTGGACGCAAAAGTAAAGGGAGAGAAGAGAGAGAGAGAGAGAACAAGATGAAAGCCACAGTGCCTCTGATGACTGCATCACTTCTGCAGACCCTCTCTGGTTGCACTGACCAACCTGGAATGAAGAGGAAGGGCTGCACAAGGGCCTGAATTCAGGATGCCCCCACACCATCTTGGGGGCTGGCTGCCGTGAGTTTCTGAGATCAGCTCCTAAGGACAGCACCCCAGGGTGAAGCACAGACAGGAAACTCTGTCTCCCTCAGGTGCATCTTCACGTGGCCACCATCACTTAGGACCCAGGACAGGCAACAGGCCGTGAGGTTTCTCACTGGCTGCAGGACAAGGAGCCAACACACACCTAGGGTGTTAACACCTCCCCCAGCGAGGGCATTCATCCCAGCACATCAGCAGGCTGCGCCAACAGGCTGCACAAAACTCAGCAGAGGATCAAAAGCCAGAGGTCAGCCTGGCAAGTCGTTCTGGATAGTCTTAAACTTTATTTGAAAAGGAAGAATGTGGGGTCGCCCAGTCAGGGGCTCTGTGTACCTGACATGGTCATAATCAGCTTTTCTCCCACTGGGAGGACAGAAACAGGAGGAAAGCTTGGAAAGCCCCTGTGCAGTGTATCTGGAGGGTTTGAGAAGAGTGACAGGAAATGTAACTGTTTTAATAGGGAAACAAAAGATGAAGTGATAATCTTTTCACTTTCGATCTTTCCACTGTTTCCAAGGTAGAGAGTTACAGTCTCTGGCTTCCTCCCAAGCAAGCCTTGGGACCCGGGGCCTTCGCGACCCCAAGGATCTGAAAAGAAGTCACAGGGACTCAAGTGGCAAAGGGAAGGTCCAGGGTTCTGGGCTCTCCGGGCTCCTGCACCCTTCACACCCACAGTGTGCCTCAGAGCCCCTCTGCTGACACGGCCAGGCAGAAACCAGACAGGTGTACAACACGTAAGAGAAGAAGCTGGGCGTGGAGTGAGGTTTGCCTCAGTGCTGCAGGCAACCAAGGTGGTGGACAGAGGAGCGGTGAGTGGATGTGAGTGCCATGGGTGGGTGGATGAACCGATGGGTGATGGGTACACTGTAGGGGGCAGATGGATAAGTGCATGGATGTGTGCATGGGTGGATAAATGGATGGGTGGATGGATACATGGGTAGGTGGATGGATGGATGGATAGGTGGGTGGATGGGTGGGTAAATGGATGGACAGGTGGGTGGATGACTGGATGATGGTTGGTTGGTAGACTGGTGAAGAGATCAGGAAATGGAGGGGTAAGATGATTGTTCTGGTTGTGACAACCCAAATCCTTCCTCTAGGAGAAGTACTGGAAATTTCCACAGGTCTGCCTTCAGGACTTTGGTGAACATTTCCTGGCAGAACAATGTTGGGCTGTGAAATGCCTATTCTATTTCTAAGGAAAACAGCACTTCTTTTTTCTTTCTTGCAAGTGACGCCAAACATTTTACATGGCCCCAAACAGACCTAGCACCTAAAGGTCAGGAGCTGGGAACTTCTCCAAACACATAAAATCATTAAAGTTCCCCTGAAATTAACGCCACCACCATTTCATGCCCATGAATAAAGCACTAAACAAATACTGAGAGGAGAGAGCTCATTACCCGAGATCGTTAACTGGCTCAGGAAGACTGCAACTACCCTTGAAGCCAATTAAGAGGTCTCACACTGGCTGTCAGCAGCCCACGGGGGACTGGCGCGTGCATGGGCTCAGAGTAGGCACCCCATAAAACACATCAGTGAGGTCAGGTTAGCAGGTCCTGCGAGGGTCCTGGCCCTGTGTCCCTAGGCCACATGTGATGTGATCCCAACACTCAGAATCGAGGGCCCTCCGTGAACGTGGAGCAGATCACCTGCACAGTGAGGAACACCAGCCATTTAGCTCTGTGTATTTAGCAAAGCCCTCCTTGGTGCTGATTAATTCTCTTCAACACAGAGCCTAATGGGGGAGGAGCTATTGTTATCCCCACTCCACAGAAGAGGAAACTGAGGCACAGAGAAAGAACACAGTGAACAGTGGAGCCAAGACTTGAACCAGACCATTCAGTTCAATGTCCAAGTCCGAAGTGACCAGATGCAGAGAGCCAGCCTGGGGGCCACTTGCCACACCCCAATACTGCACATGTGTCCTGTCTAGTCCTCCCAAGACCATGTGACACAGCAGTGCATGCAGCCATCCCACCACCCAGAGAGTTGGGGTCAGCAGCATAGGAAACATGCCCAGGATTTGAATCCAAGTCTCAGAAACCATTGGGCCATAAAGCATCTGACCCTGCCTGGGGCAGGCCAGGGAGGACAGCTGTTAGCCACCTGTGGCCACCTTGAAACACTACACGTGCCACAAAGTTAAATAAAATATATTATTAAAATTAATCTGGCTTGTTCCTTCTGAGTGTTTTTGGTGTGGCCGCTGGAGAAGTTTCAGTTACTATGAGGCTCATGTTGTCCTGCTATTGGACATCCCAGGACAGAGTCAAAAACAAGTGCCAGGGAGGATTGCCCCAGCAAAGGCATTGCCCATCTCCCCATGCCCCGGCTCATCGCCCTCTGAGAATCCTGGGACCTGGGTAGAAGACTCAGGATCGCCAGGATGCCCTGGGCAGGCCCAGCCGCTGCCCTCCGAGCCCTTCCCAGATCTCCAACAGGACACATTCACCTCACAGCCAAGTGCGAGGGGGTGGGGCGCTGGACACCAGGCACAAGCACTCGGGCTGCACCTGTCGAGGTGCCAGGGGACCCACAGCAAGGCCAGAGGCTGGAGGGGCTGAGAGACACCTCCAGCATGGGATCCCTGAAGGGCGGGAACATGGCCAGGAGACCAGCCTGGGGGTGAAGGAGGCGGAGGAGGCTGGCGGGAGGGCGGAGGCCGCAGTTACCAAGCGCTCTGCCCACAGCACCCGGGCCAAGTGCCCAACTTGCATCACCTCACTGGCTGCTCCCCACAGTGACATCAGGAGCAGACGGGCCCAGGGAGGGGCCAGCAGCCTGGCACCAGGCCAGCGTGCGGCCCCAGAACCTGCAGCGATGCGGTGACTCACACTCACGTGTGGGGGACACCAAGGCACTGGCTCAGCGGCAAAGGCCTGCCCTTTTGCTCCGTGGAGAACAGCCTCTCTGCGCGCCGCCTGCTCGCTGCGCCTGCAGCTCCTTGGGGTGGAGACTGTAACCCGCTGCGCCCTGCTCAGGCACCAGAGCGCCCCTCCTCCCCTGCAGCCCAGGCTCCTCGTTCCCCCACCCACACTCCCGCACTCGGGGCCCCGGCCTCGAGGCTGAGACAGGCTGGGGAGCGGCTCAGCTCGCGCTCCAGTCCTGATGGCCTCCATCGGACGCATGCCCCCAGCAGCCGGCCCACATGGCCCTGATCTTTCCTGGGCCCCCCGACTCGGGGAGCAGTGCCGCCTGCTGCCCAGGGTCTCTCCCGCTCGCCAGCCATCAGCAGATGCTCCTGGCCCGATCCTCAGAGCCCACTGGGCCTCGGCTCCTCCCCACCTCCTGAGCAGCCACCACCATCTGCACCTGGGCCAGGCCAGCTCCTCTTCCATCAGGAGCCGGAGAAAGAAGGGGCCCAAGGCCTTCCCTCCATTCCTCACAGACTGGCCTCGTTGCAGCCACGCAGGATCCACACCTGCCTGCCTCAGCCTGGCCCCGCCCGGCACTGGCTCCCTCGCTCTGCCGCCCCCCACAGCAGAGGATCACAGCCTCTGCCTGACTCACCTTCTCCTCGCTGGGACACCGTGCTCGACACCGACTCAACCGGAGGAGAGGTTTATACTGCTCGTCTGTCGGTTGGTGGTCGGCAGGCTCTGAGGCAGAACGGCAGGGCAGAGGAGCCTCGGGGAGGAGAGCGGCTCGAGGCATGGTGAACAGGAAGTAGCGCGTCAGGGAAGAAACGGGAAGGGAGATGTGAACTTCCGGTCACACCCACAGTGACCCGCCCCTTCCCATCAGGAGCCGCCTCCTAAGAGCAATCTGCTATAAGCCCCTAATCCAATGGCCTTCCACAGATATAAACCATAACCCCACACACCATCTCTCAGGGGTCTGCAGAGCCAGGCCCTCTGGGGAGGACAGCAGTGCCCACAGATGTGCATCTGCATCTCTCAAGCCCCAGTTCTGTTGACTGATAAAATCGGGGGCCCAGGAGGGTTGGCCATGGCCCTCCCAGCTCACAGAAGCCAATGATTTGCAGGACCACTGTTCAAGTGTGATGTGCTTCACACTTGTTGGCTTCCCACACTTCACCCGTGCCACGGTGAGGACCTCAGTGCCACCTCCCGGCCCAGGACAGAAAGGCCCTCAGAGCACGCTGGACTCCCAGGGCCTCCTCCTACTCCAGGCAGGGGACAGGGGAGGAAGGAGCAGAGTCTGGGGCCGGGGACATCACAGCAGGAGTGAGTGGAGAGCTGCTCACACCCCAGTCAGTGCAGGCTCAGATGACACCAGCCTCTGTACCTCAGGCTGACAAAGCCAGAGAGGGGCAGAGCCCTGCACCAGGGCCGGGAGGCAGATGAGCCAGCGCTTGGGTGGCTGACTCACTCCCACACCTGGCACCCTGCATGTGTGCACCTTCCTTTACACATGCAGACAGTGGGGACTGCCCCAGTAGGAGACACACATCCAGAGGCTGCCATGACCCGTGATCCAACAAGAACAGGTAGGTAAAGACTTGTTCCCAAAAACTTCCAGCAGGAGAGATGCCGGTGCAGCATTAAAGAGAATCAGCGTCAGCCCACTTGCATCCAGGAAACGGTGAGGACACCCCCACCCCACCCCGCAGGCCCACCGGCCACTGGCTTGGCCCCACAGGCACCTGTAACAACAGCCAGCCCCACCACCACCGCTGCCTCTGGCCTCTTGGCTGTGCAGCTACCCAGTTCCACATTACAGAGGCACAGGGGGACATAAAGGCCATTGTCCTGAGTTGCAGAGGTGAACAGCAGAGAGAGGCCTCTCTCAGGCTCCCTGATGAAAACTGAATCCCACTGGAAAAGTGAAAAGAATCTCTGCAATAAAGGCACACCAGACCACCGTGCTTGGTAAGTTGGAGGGATCATCACCTCCCACTTGATCCTGGACTATCTTCAGGGGAAGGGCAGCTGGAACCTGTAGTAGAGCCTTGCAGAGTTCAGCCCTGTGGGAGGGCGGGGAGCTCAATTTGGGACTTGCAGCCAGAAGTCTGTCTGAATCTCAGGGGTCTGTGACTGGCTTACTGGGACTCATTGGCTTATAAGTGACAGTACCAGAAACAAAAATGAAAAAGACATTTAAGCAAGTCACAAACCCAGGCTTCCACCCTACAAAAGGCAATTTTTGGGGAAATGGGGTGGAAAAGTCCGATAATCAACCACCTGGACAGGCTGAACTGATAGCACAGGAAGTAACAAAACAGATGAATGAGACTCTAGAAAAATTCAAAGCAGACATAATCTCCCAGATAACTACAGACATGGTGAGCAGAGTGAAAGACATAATTAGAGGCTCTAAAACAGAAACAGATAAAAAAATAGATGAGCTCAAAAGTATGCTGAAAGCCATGAATGCCCAGCATAAGAAAGAAATATAAACCATGATCGCCCAACATAAGAAAGAAATGGAATCCATGAAATAGATTCAAACAGATATTCAGGAGATTAAAAACTCCATTGAAAGCATGCATAGCAGATTAAGGGAATCTGAAGATAGAATATCAGATATAGAAGACAGGATTGCGGTTAAGGACCATGAAAACAGAGATTTCTTAAAGATAGTAAGGGACCATGAGAAATCAGTCCAGCAGCTGCTAGGTGATGCAAAGAAGAATAACCTAAGACTGATAGGAGTCCACAAAAATACAGGAGAAAATACAATTGACATTAAAAAAAAACTGTTCACGGTGCCGGGGATTTAGCTCAGTGGTTTTGGCCCCTGCCTCAAAAGTGCAAGGTCCCGAGTTCGATCCCCAGTACCAAAAAAAAAAAACTGTTCACAGAGAATCAGGGTCTCAGAACAGATCCCTGCTACCGCAGCCCCATTGGCCCCTGTGGCCTTGGAACCCCATGCAGGACCATGTGGTGCTGCGAAGCCATGGCAGACCTACTCTGAAAAGCTGCAAGACAATAACCTCAGGGTTGCTATGAGAAGTAAACGAGGTACCAAAAAAAAAAAAAAACGGACCAGGGATTTAGCTCAGTGGTTCCGCTGCCTCCCTTGTAAGTGCAAGGTCCCGAGTTCGGTCCCCAGTACCAAAAGAAAAAAGAAGTAAATGAAGTCCCTGTATGGACGTTCATAATTCAAAATCTCTGTCAGCCTATTTCACAGCCTGTGAGATAATGGACCAAGGCACAGTGGACGCTTTGAGCCTTTGGGTGGGGCTGACCCTCCAGGGCCACCAGCCAGTCTCAGCATTTGAAATGCCGATGTGGCAGCACCAGGAGCCCTGGCCTGATACCCAGGCACAGCGCCCTGCCCAGAAAGCAGCTCCGAAGGACACTGTGCCCCAGGCTGTGGCCCAAGCCCCCAGGCAACTATGCACGTACAGGAGCAGGGCACACAGAAGAGAGCGGACGCGCTGTGCACACAGTTTTTAAATCTTTCCCTTTTTAAAAAGGTCGGATTCACAAATCTGTTGGATGAGTAAAGTGGAACCTGGGGGAGCAGTGGGCAGGGTTGGTGGGGCTGGCATGCTGGGATCTCCCCGAGTGTGGGATGTCTGGAAAGGACACACTTGCTTGGCAGGTGCTGAGGCAACAGAATGCTCCCCGAGGTGGAATGCCAGGCTTGGCCTCCTCCGGGTGCCAGCACCTTCCCTGCTCCGGTTCGACCTGGTCTGTTGTGTTAACATGAAAACGGTGCCCTCAGTGGGCGGTCTCCCTTGGAAACAGCAAGAGAGAGGACAGGAAGTTTCCCGTCCCTCTGGTGGGCTCTCCAACCCCCCAGCGTGACACCCCTCAGAGGAAACAGTGGATACCCACGCCACCCTGTGCCAAACACCGGGGAGTCACTGGGGAGCGATGAAGACCCACAAGGCTCGCACACAAGCCCAGCCCGGGCCTGCGGCAGACATCACCAGCTGATCACAGAGCCATCCTGGGCACTCCCTGCCCCAGCCCTGGCACTGAGGCCACCTTGGGGCAATGCGGGTCAGCCAAGAGTCCTGGGAAGCAGACAGGGCCTGCAGTGGGCACAGGGCAGGGCTGGGGCAGCAGGCGGGTCAGGTGCAGGCCACACAGGCCCCCACACACACCCCTGTCCCTCAGGACACAGACTGAGCCCCGAGGGCACAGGAGCCGCTGGGACCCCAGCCGCGCATGGGGAGAGCCGGGCTCCGGAAGTCACTCCCTCCCTCACCATGCCAAGCAGGGGCACACAAGGCCCACTGGGTGAGTTTGTCCAGGGGTGGAGACGGGGTCTCAGCAGACAGAGCCCACCGAGCACAGCCGAGTCTGGCAGACCCAGAGGGGAGGGCCTGGGAGCCCATGAACCACCATCAGGATGGAGCTACCAGATGCAGTGTGGGACCTGAGCCATCACGGGCAGCAAAGCTCCTGACAGGACTTCTTGGGATTGGGGCCTCGGAGGCCACATGAGGCATCTGGGACCAGAGAAGTGGCTAAACCTCTCTGGGCAAAGCCTCCCTCCAGGGCTGCCCAGGTACGACAGGTGTGAGGTAGTGCTGCCTGCGGGTACAGCCAGCCTCCCATTCAGACGTGGGCTGGGCCCCCAGCTCTGGTTCTGAGGAGCTACGTGGCAGGAAACAAGCGCTGGAGCTCTCGGGGAGCTTTTCTCTCCTCCTCCCTCCCCTCTCCCCCTCTTTTTTCCCTGTGGTCCTGGACATTGAACCCAGGGCCTTCACAATGAGCTCCATTTTTATTTTCTGAGACAGGGTCTCACTAAGTCTCTAAACTGGTCAGGCCAGGCTAGAACTTGTGATCCTTCCTGCCTCAGCCCCCCAGGGTGCTGGCACCACAGGGGTGCACCCCCACACCCCGCTCACTCTCCTGACTTGAAAGCAGGCACAGGGAAACAGCTCCCGTCTGGACTGCATCGAGTTCAGGCGGCAAGGTGCATGTGGCAGAGACAGCTGTGGTCACCAAGCGTCAGCAGCCGGGTCCTCCGAGGTCTGGCCTTCATGGCCTGTCCTCTGCGGTAACAGAGGCCCAGTGTCTGACTGTCCTGGCCTCCTGACAAGGGGCAGCCCCGGGCTCGGCACTGCCTCACAGCTTCAGGACCTTCCAGAAGGGTCACGTAGGTGACTGTGCCATCAGGCTCTTTGGCAGGCTCCTCAGGGAGTGTGGGCTGCAGGGTAACAACCTCCGGAAGACATCCAGTCCTAACCTCTGAAGGCTGAAGGAAGGGCCTCTGAGGGAAGGGACAGTGGCTGAGTTCTGCGGGGAAGGAAACACCTGTCGCTTACAGGAAGCTGCTGGTGCAATGGAGTCCTCTAGCATGTGTTTCTCAGACCCTGGACACTGTCCACCTGCTGCAGCCAGAAGTCAGCAGCACATCTGGAACTGTGTGGGTGACCCCAAGGGCCCAGCAGGCCCAGAGCTGCTGAGTGACCCTCCACTCGCCTGCTGGCTCCACATGCAGACTGCTCTGTCCCTTGGCTGGGAAGCGTTTTGCTGCCTTCCACTGTGCAGCTACCAGTGACCTCTCTGATCCCATGTCTGGCACTGGTGAGAGCACACAGCTGCTCGGCCAGCACCACAGGCGGGCCTGGGGCGGGTGGCCCTGCTGTTCCCAGGACAAATGAGCCAGCCAATCCCCAGAAGGAAAGCAGGTCACCCCACACCCAAGAGCTCCAGCCATGCCTCTGTCCAGAAGCCTGTCAAATATGGGAACCACTTCCAACAGGAAGGGACCTGAGGGTCCCCAAGCAAAGCACAGGGGCGGGGCTCTCCCCGGAGAGAGGGGGTCCTCTTGTGAGGTGCTCGGTAGTCCTGAGAATCAATTCAGAGGAAAGCTCAGGACCTCCTCCTGCTCCAAATCGCCAGGCATTTTAAACACAGTCAGATGGGCTTGTGGAGCACAGCTGTGATCCCAGCACTCTGGGAGGCTAAGGTAGGAGGATCACAAGTTCGAATCCCACCTGGGCAAGTCAGCAAGACTCTGTCTCAGAAAAAAAAATGAAAGGGCTGGTGATGTAGCTCAGTGTAAGGCTCTGGGCTCATCCCCAGCACTGCAGAAACAAATCAATAAATAAGCAAACAAACCACTGTTAGCCCCAGAAAGATCCTGTAGCCCCACACCCCACCCCTCAGGTGCTGCTCCCCGCTCTTTGCTCATCCCGGCCACCAGGAGGCCTGCCCACAACCTCCCCCATGCCCTGACCAATGCACTCCCCACACTTCTGAGAGGCTGCAGTCCTGTGCCCCATCTGTCCCTTCAGGGGTGCGGGGCTGCACACACAGGTGCGTGGAGACCATGCTGGAGGAGTCTGAGCCACATCCATGCAGGGCCACGTCCACGGCTCCTCCTGTGGCAGGTCCAGGCCGGGCGGGTCAAGGTGCGTGAAGCCTGGACATCCAAGTCCCCAGAACAGGGTGCTGCCCAGGGGGAGCCCCTGGGCTTCTCTGTGAGGTCCTGCAGTGTCCTCACCTCTCAGAGTCAACCCCAGGTGCTGGGCACCAGGACGCTCACGAGGCCGTAAGAGTGGAGCTGGAGACTGTGCAGCACCTCTGCCTCCCGAGGCTTTTTCTCCTGAGTCTGAAATTGGCCTCTGCCAAGAGGAGACCCCACCGCCATTCTCGGGCCTCACCCTGAGGACGGAGGGCCACCTCTGCCTCACGGAGAGCCCAATCTGGTCCGCTATCTAGAGAGGGCCTGCATCCCCTTCCCTGGTGCCTGGGTTCTGGAGTGGCTTGGCCCGTAGACCACAGCAGAAGAGATGCAGGTCAGCCTGCCACTGCCGGTCTCCTGGGACACTCACGGCCGTGCCCAGGGACACCCAGCCTGCAGGGAAGGCCACAGACACAGCGCCAGGCCTGGCCTGACAGCTAACCCACTTCACCATCTTGACGGAATCATCAGCCCCAGCCTGGGCTGGCTCAGCTGATGCCACATGGGGCAGAGGGGACTTCTCAGCTGGGCACCGCCCACACTGCAGACTCCCCAGCTAAAGAAACCAGAGGACCCTCTAAGTCACTAAGCTCGGGACGACTGTCCCACAGCAGCAGGGCTGCAAGGTGCCTGAGAGCAGCACCTCCCCTCAGCCACAGTGCTGGTGGCCCCAACAAGGCCAATCAGCCAACTCCAGATCCCTTCTTAGTGGTGGGAAACAATGGGAAAGAGTGTCTCTTTTTTCTACTGAATTGGCACTACTTTGGTGCAAACCCAGAGATCCTCACAGCTATTTTTCAAAACTACCTGCCTGCCAGTGGTATAGAGGGCCGCAGAGGCATGATGTGAGGAGAAGCTGGGTCCTGCCAACACTGTCTGCATCCCTGGCTCAAGCTGCCCCTGAAGCCATCAGGGCCCTAGACTTTTCCATTATGTAAATTAACAAATTCCCTCCTAGCTTAAGTCAACATGAATTAGCTTTCCTGTTCTTTACGACCAAGAGTCCTGACCCAGTGGCAATTTATGGATAAGTAGCCTCAAACAGCCCACTTCCCAGACAGCCACAGCGTCCGATACCCCTATGGAGCACAGCATGGACACGCCCGCTCCCATCACTCATGCACAAGGGCTCCCAGGCTGGCAGGGCCAGGCTAGGATAGCCACAATGCAACCAGCAGAAGCCTCCCCACCCCACTGGCCCGGAGCTGCCAGCCCAGCTGGGCAGAGCAGAGGCAGGGTGCCCTAAGGGGTCCCCTCATCCCTTCCAGGACCCCTCCAGACTTTCCTGCCTGCTCCAGCCACACTGACAATGCACATGGCCATCAAGCTCCCCCTGCCGTCTCTTCCTCCTGTGGACACTGAGAAGAGACAGCACCCCACTCCACTCGGCAGCAATTGCAGCTGAGGAACAAGCACCTCCTCTCCAAAGCGGGTGCTGAGAGGGGTTCAGCAAACAGAGGCCAAGGGCAGTGGAGGGCAGCACAACCAGGTGGGATTTGGCCAACTGGGCAGGTCCCAAGTGACATCATGGCCATTCACGGTGCAGCTCCCCACTGCCACAGCGCTGGACCTTGGTGAGTGACACGGGCGGGTGGGCCCCTAGGGAGCTGCTGCGCCCAAGAGCCAGGCCAGAGATCACCTCCCAGGAAGAGAGCAGGACCCCAACTTCCACTCTCCAGTTAGGGCTGGGCCTCCCTGCAAGGAAGGAGCCCTTGACGCAAGCGACACATAAACCTGCTCCTACAATTGCACTGGTGCCAGGACAGCCCGGCAGGGCCCAGGCATCTCTGGGCCAGGCCCTCGGCTCAGGAGGCCCAGGGAACCCGAGCAGGAAGGGCTCTCTGCTCTGGGTTGCACTGGGGCTGCTGAGTGTCTGCTTCTGACATGGAAAGACACTCACTGGGGGCTAAAAGCCAGTGACCTTTCTCAGGGGTGCGAGAGGGAAACACTTGTGTCATAAATGCGACACCACAGGTGTGGTGGGGACACAGCACCGCAGCAGTGCAGGCGCTGTTCCCCATCCTGGGAAGGGCAAGCATCGTGTTTTGATCCAGAGGGCCGAGACTGCAGATGACATCCTCCGCCCCTGGGATGGAGAGAGAAGGTGGAGTGGCCCTTCGCTGCCCAAGGAAGCAGCTGGGTGGCAGCTGGGTGGGGCCAGGAGAAGCCAGTCTCCTGGGGTGTGGCTCAGAGGCTGGGTCAAGGCCTCCTCCATCAGATCAGCCTATAGAAGCAGAGACTGGGGAAGCACGAAGAATGCGGCCAGGTGATCCCCACCCGGATGTGCCCTTCTGTCCCTCTCAGCCTGAGGAGGGGCACGGGCCGGTGACCTGGTGCCCTGTGTGCTGCCTATGCAATGGCCAGGCTGGTGCCCACCATGCCAAAAGCACAATAACAGGCTCTCAGCCCCAGCCTGGAAGCGCTGAGGAGCTCGGACACCACAGGGGCCAGTCCAGGGGGACAAGGAGCCTTCTCCTTCCCTGCTGGCCGCTGAATGTCCCTCACCCACCCGGACCTGACCTGAGACCGTGGCGCATGTAAAGCCTGGGCCCTGCACCACAAGGCCTGGGTTCGAATGCTGCCTCAGCTGTATGTGAGCCCCATGACCCTGGGCAAGTTCCTTAACCTCCCTGAGCCTCAGTTTCCCTCAGTGACCACATGTGGCTTTCCATGATCACAGAGGAATCGTGGACAGGGCTGGGCTACTTGGTCCCTGCCCGCTAAATGGTGAGGACAGTGGGAGGAGGTGGGTGGGTGCTGGGTGGCTGGGTGGTTGGGTGGTCGGGTGGGTAGGGAGGTCAGAATTTTCTGCACTCCTTGAGCTCTAGATGTTTGGGAAGACAGGAGCACGCGCCCCAAACCCTCCTGAACGGCTGCGTCACTCCCAGCGCACGGAAGACTTTCAGACAGCGCCCTCTTGTGGAGCCCAGCGCCAAGCTTCCAGAGGATGCCTGCACGCCCAGGGCCAGCGGTCTGAGACCCAACCTGGACTAGGGGGCCACGGCCACCGCATCACCCCACACACAGCCCGACCCGCTCCCCCGAACAGGGGGAAGGTCAGCAAGACAGGACCACACACTCCGAGTCCATACAGCCACTGCGGCCCAGGGGTGCTGCTGCCGAGGGCGAACACCGCATGGGGTCCACAGCGCAGGTCACAAAGACAGAGGGTGGTGCCTTCTGGGAGCCGGATGCGGCTTCCTTGTGGGGCCACGGAAGTGCGGGGGACAGACAGTGGTGATGGTTGCTCCACATTGCAAATACCCTAAGAACACTTACTCCTGTACTGTAAAGGGGTGGATTTTTTTTTTTTTTTTGGTACCGGGGATCGAACTTGGAACCTTGCGCTTGCAAGGCAAGGTGGGCTGAATCTCTGGGAAACAGCTCCCATCGCAGGCTCCTCCCACCCCAGGCCTTTCGCCAGAGATCTTGATTGTGACTCGTGTTTACTGATGTTCTCCATGGCAGGTACAGATCACAAAGCCAAGCCAAAAACACCTGGCCAGAAAGCAGAGAAAGGCAGGCAGTGGGTGGGGCTGTCCCAGGCAGGGACCCCCACCCTCGGCGCGCCCTGTCAGGGAGCGTGGGCGGTGGCGCACCCCTCAGGGTCTCCACGGTGCTCTGCGGACTGAGGCGCCTGGGCTGCACCCCGGTCAAACCACTGGGCCTTTCCCGGGGAAAGGGATGCCGGGCCCTGCCCGGCAGAGCTGAATGGAAGGGTCCAGAGCGCACCCTCTCCTCTGTGCAAAGGGCAGGGGAAGCTGCAGCCTGCCTGGGGTGAACAGGGCGCCCATCCCAGCCAGACACGACGTGCTCCCGACGCCCAGATGGCACCGGCGCCGCCGGCTGAGAGCGGGCACAGGACAGTGCTGTGGCACCCGCACGGAGTCACGCACGGGCTTGCCGGGTCGTTCTCGACAGGGGGAGCAGAAAGACTCCAGGCACCAGGACCTGGGGGCGGGTACTGCTCTGCCGTTTCCTCGGGATCAAAATGCCTAGGGAGTGAGGGGTGGGCCCAGGGCCACCCACTGTGCCCCACTCCCCACCCGCTCACCGAGTGACCGAGACACGCAGGATGGCCTGTGGGAAGGTCAGAAGGCTGAGGCTGAGGGGCAGGAGGGGCACTCCGAGGCTGGCTGCCCTCCCGGGCGCCTGGGGCTCGTCCCGGTAGAGGGCCGGCTGCTGCCGCTGGAGCAGGTGGTGCCCGTCGCAGATCTGCCAGTGACTGTGCCGGGACTGAGAGTCTTGGGGGGCGGCCCTAGGGGCAGGGGGGCGGGCGTGAGGAGAGGTCAGGCCCGGGAGACAGGGACTGGCCAGACCGGTGGGAACCCGCCCCGCCCACGGAGATGGAGCGCAGCCTGGCTCGTTTCCCGTCCCGAAAGCCTCGAAGGTGGCTGTTGAGCCTTTAGCTCTTAGAGCAGCACAGTAAAGTGTGAGAGGTCTGATGAAACCAGACTGAGTAAGCGAGCTGCATGACGGGAGCGTGGCTGAACCAGTGTCCACCCTGGGAGGACGTCAGTCACGCCACGCAGGGACTCGTCAGTCCTCCGTGAGCCGCGGTGAACCCCGTCTGTACCGTGCGGGCTGAGACTGCCTGGTGACGCGGTGACTGACGCTGTAGACAACACCCTCCCTCCCCGGGCGCAGGCGCAGTCCAAGCAGCATGTCTGGCCGGGGGCCGGGACTGCGCCCTCCTCCGCGGCACGCACGCACGCACGCCACGCCGAGCAGGCTCTGAAGGACTGAATGCTCCAAGGGTCTGTGTCACGGCCACAGTTCTGTCAGCACACGCCCCCCTCAGGAGGCCCCGAGGTTTGCCTCTTGGCTGCGCCGCCTTCTCTCCTGCTTGACAGAGTCTCCTGCTGTTGTTTGCCGGACACACATCACACAACACAGGTGTGGATGATGACACAACCTTACATGACATACGACTGTACCTGCAACTTCCCTTCATAAAAGGGTAACGACAGCCACACCACACGTGGAGTTCCGTGTTTCCACTTCCTCGCCCCCTTCGGTATCTCCCCAGGTGCTTCAGGCAACGTGTGATCCCTTTGGTATTATACTTTGACCATATTAATATGCTAGTAATATACAATATGCTCTAATTCTGTTAATATAAAAATGCACTAATATGAAATATAATAAATACGCTTTCCTTATAAAATTCTACCTCAAAAGCAGAGAGCAGAAAAGCAGAGACCTCTTTTCATAAGAAAACCATGAGTTTTCCCTTTAAGAAGGAAATCTGCCAGATTCGAGGCCAAAGAAATTGACTCAGATGTCTAAGTCATTCTGTGCTTGAAGCTAGAGGAAAGAAGGGCCCTGATTCTGGGAGCAGTGAAACTTGCTGTTTCCTTAAGGGGAGCTCATCAGGACAGGTAACAAGGCCAGTGGTCACCTTTCCAGGAAAACTGGCCAGCAGTGGGAGGAGAACTGTGGGGAAGCCAACCCTCAAATCCATTAGTCACACACTGGTGAGTCTGTTCTGAGTGATTATTTTCCACTCTGAATACTCTGCGTCTTTAATAAAAGCCAAACTTCTGCCCACTGTGAATCACGGGCACCAGTTTCTAAACACCACTGGTAGCTTCTACTCCAGTCACCCTTTGTGGTTGTGACCACTCACACAGCTCCTGGTCCAAGCCTCGAGCCCACCCGAGCCGGGATGGGCTCAGATCAAATTTCCCCATAAGCTCAACATTGAACCTAAACATTGAGTTTGATTCAGTTCTCATCCAACTCAGCTTGCAACCAGAACCGTGGGAAGACTCAAGTCCATGACCTGAGGTACCACTAAGTATGAGCGTGAGTATGCAATAGGGTATATGCAGGAATAAACCCTGTGTCACAGAATACAGAGACATGTGCATGTGCACACACACCATGTTGTGAATCACAGAAGGGTGGGGCCTAGGAAACACACTCACACACCACCTAGCCCCAGCGTGCAAACTGTTCGACGATGGACAGGTAACGCTTGCCCGGCTCTGCGGCTTCTCCAGGTCTCTGGGGAAAGACAGTGGGTGACGGTGGCGCGTGGTAGGAGCAGCAGAGAGCGTGTCACTGTCACGGTCTTATTCTGCAGGTGTCTCGGGATGAGAGGAGGCTCCCTGACCCACCACAAACTTCACGAGGTCCCTTTTCCCCACAACAGGACACACACACACTGAGTTACCCAGCATGCCTTTAAAACTCTGCTGCCTCCCCCAAATTTAAAGACCCAATCCGAAAATGGGCATCTGAAATGAACAGACATTTCTCAGACGAAGAAATAGAAGCAGCAAATAAATATATGAAAAAATGTTCAACATCACTGGTCATTCAAGAGATGCAGATGAAAACAACACGGAGATTCCACCTCACCCCACAAAGAATGGCTGCTATCAGGAAATCAACCAATAACAAATGCTGGCGGGGCTGTAGGGAAAGAGGAACCCTGCTCCACTGCTGGTGGGAGTGTAGACTGGTGCAACCACTGTGGAAATCAGTATGAAGATACCTCAAAGAACTAGGGCTAGATCATTTGACCCAGCTATTCCCCTGCTGGGTATCTTCCCCAAATAATTAAAAGAATCATACCACAGCGATGTATGTGCACCCATGTGTATAGCGGCACAGTCTGCAATAGCTAAAGCTTGGAAACAGCCCAAATGCCCATCAACTGGAGACTGGACAAAGAAGATGTGAGGGTTTTTTTTTGTCAAATGGAGTACTACTCAGCCATAAAGAATGAGAAACTAGAGACATTTATAGCTAAATGGATGCACACTGAGGCCATACTCTTCTTAAGTGAAATAAATAGGACATGTGTGTAAATACTGAATAGTTTCTCTGGTGTGAAAAACGGAAAGTATAAATTGAGGACTAAAAGGTATAATGGATGACGTGAAACAGGAAGAAAAGGAAAAGGGAAAATGGAAGGGAAGGGAAAGTGGAAGGGAAGGGGAAGTGGGGGGGGGAGAAAGAAGGGGAAGAAAAAAATATGAGAAAAGAAGGAAAAAACGGAAATGAAAGTTTTTGTAAATAGGGAGGGGTGGAGGGGAAGGAAGGGAATGGGGAAAACAAGAGGCAAGATACGTCATGTACAGGTGCAAGTTCCCAATGCGAATGTGATCATGTGCACCTAGAGTATACTGATAAACCCAATGGAAGAAATAAAATAAGCTACACTCTGCTGCCTAGAAGACAAGGGTGTGGCCAGCCCAGGGACCCCCGAGGCCAGCCCCGTGGAGCCTCAGAAGGGCTGAGGCTGCCCACAGGGCAAGCATGGTCTCCGTGCCAAGGGCCTGCCCGGGCCCTCACTCTGGGGACAGCTGGCCACTCGTGACGGGCAACCTCTTGATGCCTCAGTCTGGCCGATCCCAGCAGCCCTGCCCTGGAACTCGAGCTGGGGGCTGACACAGCAAGCCATGGTCCCTCCCAGGCACCCGCTCTGCCACCTGTGCAGCCGCTGGGGAGGTACAGAAAGAGACAGAGCAGGGGCAAGGCCAGGTGAGGGAGGAGTGGGGAGCGAGGGTGGGGAGGAGGGAGAGGAAGCAGACAGGCAGCAGCACGGGCTGGAAGTCCGCCCTGCCCCTCGGAGAACAGGGCCCAGGCTTCCTGGGGGCCACCAGGAGCCCGGACCTGCCTGCAGCCTCACGCCTGGCCTGAGGCCCCGAGCGCCCCACCACAGCTGTCCAGAACCCTCTCCGGCTCCGCGGCGGGGCATCCTGGGCACCCTTCTCTTCAAGCCCTTTCCTGTTCCACCCTTGCCACTGTGTGAGCCTCCTCACCTTCTGCGGCCTGAGACCCCGGGGTACCCAGTAGGGCATCACAGCCTGGCTGCTGGGCATCAGGAAGAGGCCCCCAAAGCGATGGCACAGGCAGAGGCAGGCCTTGGTGGATGTGGAGATGTGGGGCTGGACCACCTTCCGGGCCTACAGAGGGGAAGAGAAGGTGCAAAGGAGGTGGGGCCTGGCCGGCCGGCAGCCCTAAGAGGGACCAGCAGGACACCCTGACTCCTCTCCCTCCGATCCCCAGCTGCGGGCACAGCCAACTGCCCTGCGGAAGGAACTCGGTCTCCCGATCATGATGCCCCAGAGGCAGGCCACACAGACCTCAGGGGACACCCACGCAGCACCCAGGCAGGCAGGGGTGGGTTGGGGAGCCTCTCTGTGCCTCGTGTGCCTGGCTATGAAGAGCGTTCTGCCGGCATCCTGACAAAATGTACCAGCTGTAAGACAGAAGCAGCCTTTGGTCCAGCGACCTTGTCCTAGGGACACAGCCCACATTCTGCATCTGCAGTGAGCAGGATGTGTGCACTGCTGTCAGCAGTGACCAAGCTGCCCGGATGCCCATCACAAGGGACAAAAATGACTTCCCTCCATCTCCATAGCTTTCCACCGAGGCCCAGATGGCCCTGCTGGGCTCCTTTCACTCTGGCCCAATAAGGATAGCCTGGCCAGTCCCAGCCCTGCCTCCAGCACTTGCTGGGCCTACCCTGCCAGTGGCTGCTGTGCTAGGAGCAAACAAGACGCTGCCCTGCCCACAGGCAGGAGAATGCTCAAGCCAGTGAGCTGGAGAGGGCAGGAAGCTGCACACACCTGTCTGAGACAACCAGGATGTGGACCCCAGAGCTAATGGCACTGGGGACAGGCTGTGGGTGCCCACTCAGCAGGCACTTCTTGCCCCCGTCCCCAGGCACAGTATCATCAGTCATCACAGACCTGCGGACAGCAGCCTCGGCAGGTGGATACACAGTCGGAAGATATGCAAATGTGAAGACTGACCAAAGCAGGCCTGGGGAGCTAGGAAGGAAGTGGACCTCTGCACACTGCTGATGAGAAGGTCAAATGGTGCGGCCACTCTGGAAAATGGGTGGCAGTTTTTTTAAGTTACATAGGGCTGGGGATGTAGCTCAGTGGCGCCACGCCTGCCTGGCAAGCGCAAGGTCCCGAGTTTGATCCCTGGTACCGCAAAATTAATTAATTAATTTACAAAAGTTAAACATACACAGGCAGTTCCACTCCTAGATATTTACCCCAGGAAAACAAAGACAGATGTCCTTCAAAGACCTGTACACAAATGTTCGTAGCGGCTTTATCTGGCACAGACAAAAATGTCCTTCTGGATGAACAGATAAACATCATCTGCTCATGTAACAGAACACTGCTCAACACTGCAAGGAACTGCTGAGGCGCACAGCCTCATGGAAGAACCTCAGAATAAGTGGGCTAAGGGAAAGGAGCCAGACAAAAGGGAATCAGAGTATGTAAGGCCATCACATAAAATTCTAAGAACTGCTAGCTAAGCCATAGTGGCAGAAAGCTGATTGCCGGAGATGCCAGAGCCCTGGCTGGGGACTTTGGGAACAGACGCTAAGGTGGAGCTACAAACTGGCGCCAAGAAATCTTGAAGGGTTGTAAGCAGGCTCATTGTGTGGCTGGTGCTGTGGTTTCCCTGGGAATGTGTTTGTCAAGCCTTACCAGAGCATTTACACTAATATAAGTGTGCATAAGTGTTTATATATGTCCAGCTTATCGATCATACCTCCATAAACATATTGTTAATCTGTTTAAAAAACTCAAACCGTCTCCAAGAAACCCTAAAATATCACACATATAATGCTTATAATTCTGATGTTCACCCTGGCCCTTGGTAAAGACCTCTGGCAAGTCACCTACCTGTTTTGGGGTCTCAAAGACAGAGAGACCCAGTAGGGCAGCACTGCCTCCACCCTAGGCACAAGTAGGCAGCCCATGAATTTGTCACAGCACTTACAGCAGATGTGCTCTTTAGTCACCAGGTTGGAGCACTAAGCAAGATTCAGAAAAGACAGGTTGAAGTATTGTGCAGCATTTCTAATGTGAGGCAAGGAACTGTCTGGAATCGTAAGTCAATGGCCCGAGGGAGTGTCCAGGAGAAGGGACGGTGCCCAGCTCCTACTGCAGCTTAGAAGAAGGCAAACTACGTGGATGGTAGTGAGGCCCACAAAGCCTGCGGGCTAGGTGTGGGGGGCTCTTGGCCACATCCTGGTGCCCTATGTGAGTGAACAAGTTCCAGGCCCCCTTCTGACAAGGGCAGAGCTCAGCCAACTCTGGGGGCCAGTGGGGAGCTGAGTGCTCGGGGGTTCACCTGTGTCATTTCTCACAGAGCACTGTTTGCTGAGGTTGTCATCCCCTGGATGACAGGTACCTGCTACACAGGGGGCTCTGCGGGTTCTCCCAGGCTTGGGGGTTCTAAGCACTAAGGGGAAGAGGGTGAGCCTACATAGAGATTTTTGGGGATCAGTGATAGCCCCTACAACCACACACTTCCATGGCTGCTGACCCTCTACTGGTCCTACCTCCTCCACTCCTCCCACCCCACAGTCGGTTTGTTTCCCTACTGGGTGATTTGTGAAGCACACTTCTTTCCTGAAGGTCAGAAATGTGCTCTTCCTAAAGAAGAACAGGGAGGCTTAGAACGCTGAGCTTTGTGTACATTGAAGGCAGCCTGCTGGGAGAGTGCCTGGCCTGCCTTGTTGGACCTGACTCTGCCCAAAGTTCTGAAAGGCAGGGCCATCTTTCTGAGGTCCAGAGAGGCTGAAGGTGACTAACCGATCTCACACATGTGCTCACAGCTGGGCTCCCAGGTACTGGCTGCTCTGGACTCCTAATTCCCAAGCCAACTCCCTCCAACACACTCCAGCTAAACTTGTGCCTGGCCCATCAGAAAAGACTTGAGAGTCCGACCTAGTGAGGACTTTCCCAGACATGGGCCATCAACTACCCTCTATGATACTTGATCAGACACCCCCCAAATTTAGTGGAATACTGGAGGGAAATGCTGTCAAGCTGCACAGAGAAAACTTCCAACGTAAAAACTAGGGTGCTTTGTCTCCAGGATAACAAAGCATTTGGGGCTACAGACTTGGTCACTCATCCCCACTCTCTCCCATCAAACTGCTACATTGTTGGGCAGAGTCCCCAGCAGGTATAAAACACAAAGTAAAGCCGGGCTTCTCTATAGTGAATTGTATAAATGCTTTGTAATCTGGAAACTGGAAACTGTATGACCTGAGTTTTTTTGTGTTTCATTATATAATATTCACTGCTGCTGTTTCGTTTACAGTAACAGCTTCAGGCTGATGCTTGACTGAGTATATGGCTTTTCTTTTTGTTCCGGTGCTGGGGATCAAACCCAAGGCTTCATATCCGGTAGGCAACTGCTCTGCCACTGAGCTATATCCCTTGCCCTTGAGCTGATGATCGATTGGGGTGCCGGGGAGTGGGTGTTGTCCTATACAGCATCCACACCCCTCTCCGGTAACCACAGCCTTGCTCTTTTCTGGGAGGGCTGACCACGCCCACCTCGGCCCACATTCAGGTGAGGCAAACCCACTGCTCCCAGCCTGGACTTAAAGAGACTCCACCGTGGGGGCCTGTGCTGGAGTTACTGGGAGAAGACACGCTTCTCTTTCGTTGAGGTTACGAATCTGATAGCATGGAAACCACAAGAGACCTTGGTAATGCTGCTTCCCATGAGAACCAATACAAAGGAAAGGAAGCTGAAAGAGGGGCACTCGCTGGAGGACCAGTCCTTGGGCACCTCGATACATCTATGCCTGAAGGCCTGCTCCGGACATCTGCAGTTACACCGAACAATAAGCTGCCTTTTCATGCTCCGTTCCTTCGGGCTTAGCCAAGGGCTCCGGACTCAGGGGCGGCCTCCGGCGTCACGATGCGCTTTGGGATGAGCGAATGCTACGGAGCCGAACTGTCTCCGCAAGGGTCTGGGGCTTGGCAACTGCATCATGAGGACAAGGACGACCGCGATAACGGAGCCTGGCTCTCACGCGCGCCACAACCCAGGGCTCGCAGCAACTTCCAGGTCTCGGTCTGCAGCAGTCTCCCGGCTTGCACCTCGGCCTCACGCTTGTCCCGTACGGACACTGATTGGCCCGAGCTCAGCCATTCAGGTGATGCATTGTATGGACGTGCACTTAGCTGGCAGCTGATTGGTCCCTCTTGGCAGGGCTCAGGGTCAGCGGGTCAGAGCGGACCGATGGTCTACGGGGCGGTGGCCTTTCCCTAACCTTGCCTGCTGGACGTCGGCTCTGGAAGCCGCCGCCCTCGACCTGACTCACCATTTCCAACCGACGGGCCTGTGCACCGGTGGGGCGTTCCAGCCGGGGTGTTGGTCCCCTGCAAGGAGAGAAAACAGTGGGAGCAGCCCTGCGCGGGAGGGGGAGGGGGGGGAGGGGAGGCTGGGAATGCAGCTCAGGTGGACAAGTTTATTGTTTTGTTTTTCCCCGTACGGGGAACACAAGGTTTTTACTCTGAGCTGCATTTCCAGCCCCTTTAAAAAAATTTTTAAATTATTTTGAGACAGGGTCTCCCTGAGTCAGTTAAGTTGCCAGGCTGGGCTCCAACTCAAGATCCTACTGTCTCAGCCTCCCAGGGTGCTGGTATTACAAATGTGTGCCACCAAGCCCTACTGAGGTTGTCAAGTTTCCCAGTATAAGAACAACCCTTCAGATATCTCGGACATGCTTCTACTCAGTCACTCCTTATCTGAAATTCAGATAAATTACTTTCATTTTCATGCGCTAAATCTGACACCCCTACCAAAGGGCTTTGTGACTTTCAAGGAAATGTTTATGTCTTGAACAACCTGGGGTTTATGAAGGTCGTGGGATTCAAACACCTGCCATCTAAGATGTCTGGGTGCTCTTTGACCCCAGAGCCCTCTAGCCTGTTTTTCCTTTGTCCCTTCGTCTCCCTCCTCGAGTGTGTTTGTGCAGTTGTAAGGTAGAGACAGGATGTATGTCTTCACATTTTAGTAAAACTCGGTGCTTTCTGCCTGTCCAGTTTTGTTCTTTAAATGATCTCAAATCGCAGTTTGTATTTCTTGGAAATGGTTGTGGCTCTAATACTCTCCATTAATGTTGGTATTTGCCAAAACTGTTAATGAGCAGCTCTAGCCCTGATGGGCAGCCCCTCCGTGCACTGCATTCCAGTCAGAAGGCCAAAAGATGTGTCCAGGTACTGCTTGGATTCCTTGGCTCCATTATTTACATGTTAGCATCATGATCTGTTGGGGCTGGGCTTCCAGCCACTGCACATCTGATCAACACCTGCATTGAGTTGGAGGTACCCCTGCCTTAGTGCTAAATATTCCCACTGCCACCCATGGGTGTCAGGAGGTCTACGTGGCTTCTCTGTGTCTCCGTTTTCCTCCTGAGCCCATTGAAACATGACAGTAGATTAGCAGGGCACAGAAAACAGACTCATATGTCCCTGGAAGCTCTGGCCCTCAACACTGAGACACCCTCTTGTTGTCTGATGTAAAGAGGTCTTCATCACCATCCCTAACTACCCAGGAAAGGCTAAAATTAAAAAGACAGAGAATACCAAGTCTGTCAAGGATGTGACAGCTGGAATGCTTCTTGTACATTGCCCAGTAAATTAATACAACCATGTTGGCAGTATTTATAAAACCTAAACATAGGAATATCCTGTAACCACTGACTTCACCCACTCAAGACAAGAGCTTAAGTCCACTAGCCCATGAGCAAAAATACCAATAGCAGCTTTCCTAAGTCCCAAGCTGGAAATGACCTACGTATCTATCCTTTGAAGAAAAACTTTATTTAAAAAATGATGGTACAGTCACAAAGAGGAACACAGTGGGGGGAAAGAGCACAACTGCAAGCCACAGCAACACAGATGAAGCGAAGAGGTAAAGCAGCCAGGCCCACACGTGGATTCGGGCCACATGTATGACATTCAAAACCAGGAAGGACAATCTACTCCAGAGGACACTCCACCCTGCTTGCCTCTGAAGGTTCCCAGTCCTCACTGCCTCTGAATCAGAGGCAAATATCAGGCAAGTCGCCTAACGTCAGAGCCTCAGATTTGTGTATAAAATAATGATAATCAGAGAACTAATCCCAAGGTGGTTTGGGGTTTTGTTTTGTGCTGGCATGAAACCCACAGCCTTACACACCGGACTAGTGGTCTACCACAGATCTACACCCCCCCCCAGCCCCCGAGGATGTTTGAGAAGCTCCAGTGAGACAGCATGGAAATTGCTTAAGAGAGCCAGGACATTGTGCGGATTCAGCACACGCCAGCTTATCCTGTGAGTATGGCAGAACAGTTCTTTGTTCTCTCTGAATTTTTCCTTCCTGCAACTAGCGTGAAGTTGGCTTACTGCCTCGCAAGAGGGAAGCAGGACCAGAGAAGCCTGTGGCTACCAAGTGTTCCTCTTCCAGATCTTTTGTTTCCAAAGCCCCCAAGTAGGGGGAAGGAAGAGCAGAGGGCTGTGTGCATCCAAGAGTCATGAGGACTCCAGCCAAGTGAACAGAAGTTGCTTGTCCCGGGAGAGAAACCCCTGTAGATTCCTGGACACAGTTGTGCATTTTGTTCACCAACCAAGGCTCCCTCACTGGGAGCACAAATGGAGCTTGCATTTACCTTGCACTCGGCTTCCCACAGCACACCCTGGCCTGGGTCTGGGCCTGCACCCAGACCTGCTCAGCAGGACCTCGGTGTGTGAATTTGCACATAAGTACCTCCAGCTAGTGGTTACCCTGCAGCAACAGCTGATGCCTGAGCTGTCGGGCTGCTGGGCTTCACAGGAAAAGCAGTGTGCCCCTCCCTCACAGAGCCTGCCCCCATCAGCACTCATCTCCACACCAAGCTTCCTAGCACCCGTCACTGCTCCATGGCTTCTTGCAGACATCAGTGTCACTTGACTCACGTCTGGATGGAGGTAGCCCTCAGCAACGACAGGGAAGGTGGATAAATGGGGTAACTCCAGGGTGCATCCCATACCACCCACCTCCCAGCGTCCCCCACAGGACTGAGCTCCTGTGCCCACGCTCCTGCCCTTCTTGATGCCTTTGCACTGGCTGTTCCCTTCTTCATCTCACCTGGCTTTCAGGTCCCCTCTCCAATAAACTACTTGGAAATCTTCATCTCAAAGTCTGCTTTTAGGCACCCTAACCCAGACAACTCCCTCCCCATCCCTGCTCTGACAGTCTGCATGGAAGGCCTAGGTCAGATTTTTTAAAAACACTATCTGTGCTGCCGGCTCGTGACAAGAGTCCAGAGCTGGGGCTCTGGTTCATCCAGGGACAAGACCAGTGTCCCTTGGAGACCTGGTGGGCAGAGATGAACTCATGCCGGTCACTGCTAAAGCAATCGCTAATGAACTGTTTAAGGAAAACTGGGCAGATGGCAGGAAACAAGCAGGAAGGCGGCAGCAGTGTCGCTGGAGTCTGCAGCAAGCTTCTATCTGGGGTTTCCAAAATGCAGGAAGAGGAAGAGGAGGGACACTCCTTCCCCAAGCCTTGTTTCAGACTGTTTATTTCTGAAGGAGTTAAGCTCCCAGGAGAAAGGAAAAGACTGGCATCCACTGCAAATGAAGACTGCCCGACAAAGAGGAGCTGTGGGTAACCCCATCTGCAGGGTTTGGGGGTCCACTGGCAAGGCAAAGTGGAGCACCTCTGCCAACTCCACAGGGCTGGTCACCAAAACAAGGTCAACTCAGCCACAAGACCCTGTGGGTAGACAAGCACAGGGGAGTCACCCAGCATGACCCTCCCACTGGCAGAGTCCAGGAGACTTGGGGCAGAGGAGCCAGAGCGTGCATGGCGCTTCACCTGGAGCCTGACTGCCAAACCTGTGTCTGCAGTCAGCTTTGGAGATGCCACTGCAGACACCCACGTCACTAAGCCAGAAAAGAACTCAGCCTCTGTGGCTTTGAAGTTGGCTTGTTACTCCAGAATAACCTTGCCTAGTTTGACCCAGATGAGAATAGTAAATGAGCTAAGAACTTTTTTTTATTTTTGGTACCAAGGATCAAACTCAGACCTTGGGCTTGTGAGGCAGGCACCAGAACCACTGAGCTAAGTCCCCGGCCCAAGAACTATAACTTTTTAAATCTCATTTCCTTCATTGGAGACAGTTTTTTGGGTTTCTCTGGGCTGGAGTTCTGAGCATTCTGGGTCACGATCACAGGTGTCACTGACTTGGGCTGGTTTGTGTTGTATGAACTGCCTCAATAGGACACTCACTGTCATCCAGACTGCTGCCCTGTGTTCAGTGACATCCCCACTAAAAGATGTCACTTTGTGCAGCTCTGCTGACTTAAACCCTTACCCTTTCTTCTTGGGGTCTCTGATGTCATCCTCACCCCTTATTCTCTCCGTCTCTCCAACAGTGACATTTTACAGTTCTCTTCTTCCAGCCATAAGACACCCACATCACGTCCTGGTCTTCCTTCACTTTGTGCCCCTGCAGTCTGCGGGGATGCGGTACCATCCCCTTCCTCTTACCTCAGAGCAGTAAGGGCACAGCCTGCACAAGCCAACCAGGGTCTGAGACAGTGCACTGCTTCCCAGTGCCTGTCACCGCCACACTGCACAGCCCTGAGAACCATGTCCCAGAGCTTTCTCTGAAATCGCCAAGACGCACCGTGGGAGCAGAGGCTGCCCGCCCGCCCGCCCACGCACCGAGTGTCCTGCACCCGTGGCTCCCTGCGGAACTCTGCTAACCAAGGAGAGAAGCTCCATGGCAGTTAGGCCACCCACCCTCCTCAGGCATCCTCTGTCCCCTCCTGAGCCTGGGAAGGGCGTAGGGACCCAGGCGCATGCGGAGAGGATGGAAATTAGGTCTTGCTCTGTCCCAGGCTTCCTGGGTCCCTGGTCACGAGCAGCAGTGGCTTCGGTGGTCTTCAGGAGGGCCACGTGCCACAAGGCTCAGAATGAGTGCCTTGTCTGCCACCCGGGCACCCAGGTGGGGCTCTCAGCACTGATGTCAATGACTCCGCAGGCAGGGGAGCGGGGTGCTGCACAGGTCAGAGCTGGGACCTGACGCCCTGCTCTTCTCATCCCCGCCCCACATCCGGCCAGCACAGCTCCTCACCAGCTCTGTGCACGCATCTTCCCGCCCAAGGCCACCCCCCCACCCGCCTGCACCGCCTCAGGCCTGTCTCCTGCGGCACTCAGCCCCACACCGTGCACCTGTCTATCCTGCAAATGCGCATGCGCACTCTCACTGATGCCCTCCTGCACCCGGCCCTGCCCTGGCCGCTCCTCCCCAGACGCCAGGCTGCTCCCTGAACACGGTCTACACCTTCTCAAGGAGGCCTCAGCTAAGCTCCTGTGTAAGGGCCACATATCAGGTGTCCCCAGGAGCAGACTTTGGGCGAGCCAGGTGATGAACCCGGTGGTGCTGGGAATGAGATGATGCTGGCAGTGGAGGTGGTAACAGCTAAATGCAATCATTTCTTGGGTGCCAAGTATTCATAGGTACGCTTTCTGCATTTTCTCTCATCTACTCCTTGAAATAACCTGAGGTTCACAGTGAGGAAATGGACTCTTTCCTATCTGGAGCAAATGAAACAAGAGTTCTCAGAACCCCGGCTGGGCTCCAAGGCTTGGGACAGGCAAGAAGTACTTGTCGGCTGCTCAGACCCTGGGGAAAGGCTCGGGACTGCCACCTACACACCCCTGGCTCGCCGGCCCCCAGCCTCCCGAGCACCAAGCTGGCACCCTCTGGCTAGCTATGTCCTCGTGCCCCCCCCTTCCCTGGCCCTGGCATCTCCATCAGGGATCTGCCATTCACGGCGGCAAGCGAGCACCTGGAGAGGCACGAGGGAAGGGGCACGGTCACGCAGTATCCCCACCGGCACCAGCCGGTGGGGCTGGGGCACAGCACAGCTGGTGAGCGCCTGGCAGGGCGGTGAGGTGGGAGGCCCCTTCTGTGCCACGCGCTTACCATGCGACCTTGCAGAGTGCCTGTGAGTGCTCACAGGGACTTTGCTCATAAAGCATCCGCCGGAAACAACCGGACAGCAGACTGCAATGCCAGCAAGCAGGAGGAAAGGCAATGGGACCCCCACCCCACCCCTCGCCAGGTGCCACCCCACAGGGCAAGCGCAGGCTCATGGAGGGGGCGACACAACCATCGTGTCCACGGTGTTCAAGTTCCACGGGGTCGGGGAGCAAAGTACTCCTTGGAAAGGATGATCGTGAAAATAGGCTGAAAAACTGCTGGTGCAAGAAGGCGGGCAGTCGCTGAGCCCACGGACTGGGCCTTGGCACGAGGAACGCTATGAGGTGGAGGGGAAGGAGTGGGTCACCGTGTCTGCTGTGTGCTGCTGGCCTACACTGCGCCAACTCAGAAAACCAGTTTCGTTTTCCTGGACGTGGATTATACATCAAAAACAAGCAGTATTTTTGAAAAACTCCCCGGCTGCGTGACCTTGGGCACATCACTCAACCTCTCTGGGCTGCTGCTTCCTCCCTGTAGGGAGGCTGATCTTAACCAACCTGCGCCTCCCAAGGTGTTCCAGGGAGAACACCCAGAAAACGCTTCCCTGGCGCTGAGGGCCGGGAACCGCTCCGGAGTCCCAGGGACCTCAGGTCACTGCAAGATGTGGCTGCTTAGAGGCCGTGCAGGCCGATCCTGGGTTAAGACCAGCAGGGGGCGTCCTCGGTGCGGTCGCACCTTCAGACTGGGTCAAGGTGAAGCGTGAAAAAGCAGCAGTGATCATGCCCTCCCGAAGGGAGGCAGAGCAGGTGCCCCCAGGACAGCAGCGTCGCAGGGAGGACGCAGAGCTGCCTGCCGGGCATCACGTGTGGACGTTCAGGCCAACACGGCAGAGTTCGCCAGCAATCCAGATGGCGTGTCCTCGTCCTTCTCATGTTGCTGCTGCATCCTGAGTGCCCACTAGAGGTCACCCTACAGAGACTCTCCCAGGCAGCGGAGACAAAGGACCCTGGGCACACAGCTCCTGCAGCTGAGCGGGCAGAATATCGGGTCCTCAGGGACAGCCCCAGATGGAGGCGGGCTGTGTGTGGCAGGCGACCAACTGTGAGCCCCTCCTCAGCTCCCCTGCAGCGCGACCTTCAGTCCCACAGGAGTTGGACACAGGGCCCTGGGGGACCCCACACTCCCTCGGCTTCCGTCCCCATCAGAGTTGTGCAGTAGATGGAAAAGAAGGCCTGGTTCAGACTCCGAGGACACTGCCCTTGGACAGAACCCAGGAACGAGGCCACCTGCCTCTCACCCAGCTGCAGCAGGACAGTGGGGATAGCGGCACAGGTCCACCCTGCACTCCCGGACAACACCAGTCACTCAGATCAGACGCACGGGCCCCCAGGGTGACACAACATGGCCACTCATCCTGACTGCCGGCCTCCTGCGCTCCCAGCAGCAGGCCCAGCTGGTGTGGTCAGGGGACCCGGCAGTCACTGGTCATTAGCACAACACACACATTTCACAGATTCCCCCAGACCCCACAGAGAGACCCGAACCCCAGAGCAGAGTTGACGGTAGAGGCAAGTGCCACTGCCGAGGGACGGGCCCTGCTCTCGGGAGCAGACAGCGATGTACTGGCCCTGAGGGGCACTGCACGGGCGGGCCTGGGCACTGGCGACTGGGCAGTTCCATGGTCACACAGAGCAGGGTGTCCTCTGACCCGCAGTGGCCGGAGACAGATGCCAGCGTCCCTGCGTGAAAACTTCAGCTCTCATCACATTTTCAACTCTTGAAGGAAATCCTCACATACCTGCAATTCCGCCCTGCAGCCCCCAGATGTGACCACTACCCTCTAGGTACCAGTGTTTTTAGAGACATGTGAATTGATAAAAACTGTTTCATTTTTGTATTTTACATAAATACTCACCGTGTATCATTTTATTCAACTTTTTGTGGTACGCGCAGTCTGGCCCTTATGTCTATCTGCACAGGTAGCTAGCTGTTGGACGCCCGCCACCTCCTGTCTGCAGCATCTGTAGCAGCCTGGGCCCCTGCCTGCCAGCTGCCCAGGGTGCTGCTTCCAGGGGCCTACGTCTTCAAGTTGGCCCTAGCTGTCCCCACCTGTGATCCCGCTTTCCTGTGTCACTGCCAATGCCGGGCAGCAGCCCACCACCCCTGCCATGGAACAGTCTCAGTGCATCTCCATGGAAAATGCCCTTTTTATTAGCGATCAGGCTTCTGGGCACTGTGGCAGATGTCTGTAATCAAAACTACTCAGAAAGCTGAGGCAGGAAGATTGCAAGTTTAAGGCCACTGTCTCCAATTTTTTTTAAAGGGGCAGGGGATGGGGTGTAGCTCCATTATGAAGGCCCTGGGTTCAATCCTCAGTACTTTGAAAAAAAAAAAATCCAGGCCAACAACGTTAATTCACAACAGTGATGGGGAGACTGGGATGAGAAGCTGAGGGACTTTCACTGTGCGTTAAACACTGGGATTTGTCACAAAGACGTGCTCCTTTGGTACAGAGGACAAGCACAGCAGGTCCTCAGCACGTGCGCTGGCTGCCCGCACATCCCTGCTCTTACCTACTCTGCTCTCAAACAGCTCAGGCTGGCTTGGAGGACCCCTGTGGCTCCCTGTGCCCTGAGGGAACAGCTGGGCCGGGACAGAGGACAAAGCCGACCACCAGCTCCGGCGAGTCACTTGGACGCCCCATCCTCCAGCGTGGGAGAACTGAGACTTCGCTTGTCAGGAGATGGCACGGAAGCACAGCTCTAGTCCAGCCCTCCCACAGCCCATGTCGCCCAGGGCCTCACCTGAATCACACCCCACGAGACACACCTTCAAATCAGACTCATTAAGACTCAGAGGAGACGCAGTCACGCACACCTCAGGGAACACCATCCCAGGTGACAACACAGGTGCCAGGCATACCTTAGAAGCTGCTTCCCCACCCAGTGGCCCTGGAACAGGCCCCAGATGACCTGCAAGCGCTGTCCTCCCCAGTCAAGGGCTGAAGACGCACAGGGAAAATGTGCTCTCCTGCAAGTAGGCTAACAACTCAACCGCCCAAAGTAAAAGCAAGCTGAAGCAATCACAGCCTCTGACCCTCCGTGCCCAGCTGGTCTCCCTGGGACCCAGGTAGGACCCCCAGGCACGAGTGCCTTCCTGCCAGCATCAAATGTCACTGCTCATCACCAACCCCAAAGGCTGGCGGTGTGGGCCCCCGAGCTGTGAATGTCAGAGCATTCCCAAAGCAGAAGGGGAACTGGGTGAGCTGTCGCCCCCTCTTCTCCTGCTGAGCACATATACTCCAGCTAGAACCCTCTTCGCCGTGAATCAAGTCCAGAGAGAGTGCTGTGTTAACACTGGGCTTGATGGGGGGCTGGGGGGTCCTGCTCAAGGCAGGTGACTCAGGTGAGAACACTGTTAAAAGTCAGGATGGGAGGGGGGTCTGAAACCGGCTGCTCTGCTCAGATCCTGCATTACAGATCAGGGTGCTCCATGTCCTCGGCGCCCGTGATTGTGAGGAAGAGGACCACATGGAACCCGGAAACTCCATCGACCCGGATTCCACAAAGAAACAGGCTGGGCTGGGCTGCTTAAGGACAATAAAGTGAAGGTGCAGTATGAGAAGCGCTGGCTGCCCACGGAGAGCCCAGGAGGCCCCTTGCACCCCGGTCACAGCAACAATCCCTTCTCGGCAAAGAAAGGTATAGCCTGGCAGGGAGTGTGCCAGAGGAAGGCCAATGCTGGCAGTCCTCTGCCTGGAGGATGTGCCAGGGAGTCCAGGACGGAAGGACCCAGGAGAGGACAGTGAAGCTGCGGAGTGGACAGCCCAGAGTAAAGGCCTGAGGACCGTGAGCACCGTCACGCACAGCCAGCACTGCGTGGGCCGGGCTGATGCCAGAGGGAGCCAGCGCAAGGCCAGAAAGGGGCCAGTTGGGAGCAAGGAAGGAGGAGCTGAACGCTACCACAAGGCCACCAAAGCCACTCACCCTCGAGTGCTCAACACCTCCTGATACTGCCAGGCCCACCTCACACCCTAAAAACAAAGACTTGCAAACACACACACCCCTGACAGAAAAACCCCCAGTCTCATGCTTGTAGTCCTCAGCCAGTCATGTGCACACAGCAGAGCACTTCCAGGACGCAGGGAACCCCCACTTCCCTGCACCCCACACCGCAATGCGCTATTTTATACCAAACCCCAGAGCAGCAAAATGGCAAGTAAAAGCCATTCACCAGCGCTCACCTGAGAGAAGGGCCCAGAAACCACCCTACATCTGCCCACCGGGCTCCCAGCTGTGCTCCACGTGGGCCCTGGCGCAGGAGGGGTGGAGGGGAGGGGACTGCACTGCAAAGGCGCTTCCTGGGAACCTGCTTCAGCAAGATCAGAGTCATCAGCCATTTGTTCTGTTTCTCACGATGGGGGACTGAGTCCAGGACCTTCACTCTGAGCTACAGCCCTAGCCCTTTTTTATTTTTTGAGACAGGCTCAGGCTAAGTCACTGGCCTTGAATTTGCAGTCCTGTCTCCGCCTCTCGCAGGGCTGGGATGACAGGCCTGTGCCGGCCTGCACCGCCACACCTGGGGCAACAACCACTCTGGGTCCTCACCTGCAGTGAATGAAGTGACAGGGCATCCGCTGGAAGCCACTGGTGTCCAGTGTTCCTGCGTAACTGAAGAAGTAGCCAAGGACACTTACGAATGGAAAAAATGGCTGGGGATGTAGCACAGTGGCACTGTGCCAGCCCGGCAAGTGGAAGGTTCTGAGTTTGATCCCTGGTACCAAAAAGAAAAGAATGGAAAAAGCCCAGCCTCGTCCTCTGAATGACTGTAGCAGCCTGATGGCCTGCAGGGCCCAGCTGTGTGGACGCCTGGACCTCACCTGCCTGGCTGCGGGCCCTGCCTGGGATCGTCCTACGGCCCCACACTCACACAGCCTTGGTTATTTAGGAAATCATTTAAATGTCCAAACACTAGGAGCAGGCTACACAGTTTAGATCTGAGGATTTTTTAATCAGAAGTACTTCTCGTCCATCAGTGTGCTCTTCACAATGCTAAAGGCGCCTGTGGTGGAGACAGGTCCCTCGGAGCAAGCCACGGGCTCTGGGTAAAAAAATGCATTTCCTTGGATTCATTTCGGTAGTGGTGAAACGTACAGAGCCACGGTCTACACACCCAACTGAACTTGCAGCTTCATGGTCACAGTAACCATCCTTGTGAAGACGGGGAAGGAAGTGACCAAAGATTTCAGGCTCAACCCTGCAAAAACTGCTAGAAGCTGGGACGGCGCCCTCACATTTAGCTGGAGTCCTCTCAGCGCGTCTGGGTGACCCCTGCGTGTCTGGATGACCCTGCTCTGTCCAGGGCACCCTCCTTCTCCACCTGCCTCTCTGCCTCTTCACCCGAGTCTCAGCGGAACCTCCCGGGGCAGCGTGTCACACAGGGACCTCGCCACAGAGCTGGTCAATTCTGCATCTGGGAGCCAAGTAAGCAGCTGCCAGTGAACAGAAGCCAGGACTGGGGAACTTTTTTTAACCCAGTCAGGGAGAAATTAATCAGAAAAACATTTCACGGGACATCCTTGGTTGATCTCTAAGCAAAGGCAGCACACAACTGCCAGGGGTCTCACCGGCAGGGCTAAGTCCTGAGTGCCCAGAGCGGGGCTCAGAGCAGCCACCGAGCACCCCAACCGAGAGGGGAGGCATGCACCAGAGTCTGCTCAGGGCTGAACAAGCCGCAGGGCAGGAGGAGCGACAGATTCCAGGAGGTCCCCGTCCTTCCAGAGACACTGGCATCGGCGGGACCTTAGACGGAGCTCTGCAAATGCAGGTGCCGACAGCAGGGACGTGAGGCCCAGAGAAACACTGGCACTGGGGTCTCCAAGGGGCAGGTCTGGAACAGTCCTGGCCTTGGACGTGCATGGCCCCCCTGTCTAGAAGGCTGTGCTCTCCCCTGCAAACGGCTTCAGCGGGCCTGTGCGGCCATGCTGGAGAGCTACACCTGCGTGGACCACGCAGTGAAATGAAAGCAGCATCGGGCCAGACCTGTGCCCCGGAGACTGGCACCCCACAAGTGCCGGGCAGCCGGGCGCAGAGCGGGTACAAGAGGGGAGGGTGGGCTGTGTGCACAGAACAACTCCCACCTGGAACCAGCTGCTGGCACAGTGCAGGCTCAGAAGAGCCTTGGCATCCAGGCTCCCAGGGAGCCACGCTGGAGGTTGGCTGTGTCTGCAGTGACATTCCCTAGCCACCCACACCACCAGCCCAACGCACTGACGGGGAAAGCATGGGGAGAAATACCTTCGACCAAAATCCAAGCAAGTCAGCAGCAGACGGAACTCTATCCAAGGTCGTAACCCCAAGCCTGACGTCCTGCGACTCCCGGGAGCTCCTCTCTGTATACACCGTCCTTCCCACCTCTGCCCAGGCGAGCTCTTTCCTCACCACCTCCCTGGGCCCTCACAAGCCATGGCCGCTTGTTTCACTCGTCCAGAGGGGCAGGTGGAGCAGGGCACCACATCTGCTCAGGGGAAGTGCCTGGCTGCTACACTACAGTCCACCCCGAAAGAGGGTTGTTTCACCTGGAAGACACCCAGCTCGCCAGGACACAGCTCCCCACTTCCGTCCCTACGTCCTGCAGCCGCTGCTCTAGGTCACATTCATTCTGGCTCGTCCCTTCACTCGCCTTTTTTTACATGCTCAGCTCTTTCCTTCACGGCTACCAACAACATACGGGAATATGCTACACGCTATACAAGAAGTATCTCGGGGGCCGGGCCGAGGCCTGGCGAGCGGGTGCGCGTTCCAGAGAGAAGGCTGCGTTTCCAAAGTGCGTGCTGCTTCCATGCACGGCAGCAGGGCCGCACCAGGCTGGCCATCATGGGCGCGGCGGTCAGGAAGTGAGGGACTGGATGTTCTTGAGCATCTCATCGAAGGCCTGAGGCGAGGGTGCGTCTGCATGCCGGAAGGAGGCCCGGACCCGGCTGTACAGGCTGAAGGACTTCAGCTCCAGCCAGATGAACCCGAAGCGGTCCTCATCGAACAAGAGAAAGACGCCCGGAGTGCGCTCGGGGCTGGTGAAGCCATGGCCGGCAATGAGGCCTGTGCCATAAAAACTGGAGAGACAGAGGGACAGCGTGAGGGGTGTGACCAAGACTGAAGACCAGCACAGCAGGTGCCCTGGATGCACAGGGCTGGGTCTGGCCCACTTGGGAAGCTCATGGGCCAGAGCCCAGGGTTTGCGCAGACCTGGGCCCTGCTGACCACATCCACCAACTCCCCGAGCTGAGGCAGGAGCCTGGGCAGGCACACTGGGGAATCCGCTCTAGGAACGCAGCAGGCCTGTGGCACTTTTACAAAGATCTTAATTTCTGGGATTGTTGTATCCCCCGGTGAATAACACAAGACACGTAAGAGATGCTCCCTGCAGCTGGCATTAACTAGAACTTACAGAGACTCGGGCTGTAGAGAAGTCAGGGGCTGGCCTGGAATCTCCCACGGACCCCCACCGGTCCTGCCAGCCACGTTGAGGCCCCGCAGGGTGGGAGACGGAGAGCAGCCCTGCGGTTCAGGGGCTTCTCAGGTGGGGAAGGAGATGCCTGGCCCCATGTGGGCCGAGCACTGGTGACTGGCACTCAGAAAGCGGGCCACAGGCATTCCCTGCATGGGCCCCAACGTAGCAGGGAAGTGACTGGAACGTCTTTCATGGACTGGAGAAATGTCCTGCCACTCCACCAGGGGGGACCAGCAGCCAGGCAGCCACAGCATGCATGAGACCTGCGAGTGGGCTCTATGCTGGCCACAGGGTCCTGTAGGGTGTAAAATGTTTATAGAAACAGCAAAGCTGTTTTCCTTTATGGTCATTCAAAAATTTTCATCAGCTGCAATTACACTAGAACGCTTATTTGTCGGCCTCCCTCCGCAGAATCCAAAGTCAGTCCTGTTCTCGCATAATGTGAAGAAAACGGTATTTTCCTCCCAAAGCCTGATCCAGTTGCCTAGCTCCTCTCCGGGAGCTCGGCATGGGACACACATCACCCTGTAATGGTGGCTTTACTGGAACGTGCCCAACAGACCACTGCAGGCATGGGACAGCAGCTATCTAGAGGTAGAAGGAAAATGACAGATAACAAAGACAGAGGCCGGTACCTGTGATGCCAGGAGACAGACGGGCTGGGCCTCAACTGGGGTACAGTGCTGAGGTCTGCACTGTCCAATACAGCAGCCATCAGCCAGGGCGGCCATTGAGCACTTGAAACGTGGCCAGAGTAACCAAGGAACTGGGCCTTTCATTTCATTCCGTTTTAGTTAACTTTGGCCCCAGAGTGCAGGGAACCGAGGCAGAGAGCAGGCGGCCAAGACCCGAGGCAGCAGCACAAGAGCAAAGTCAAGCGAGGGTGAGCTGGCACCTGGCAGGCTTTGCCAGGTCACCGACCCAGCCCCCGGCCTGAGGGAGGGGCAGAGTGCCCACCCTTCCCCACACCAGCGAAGGCAGCAGCCAAGTAACAGGGTAGGGAGGGACAGAGAACCCCGGGGTCTCACAAGCAGCAGCCGACAGCGGCCACAGCGTTCCTGGGCAAGGTGCAGGCCGCGGCTCCTGGGGAGGGCCCTGCTCCTCGCTGTGCACCTCTCAGCTGCACATGTGTTAGCCCATCTGTCTCTACTTGGATACCTCGGAAGGCATCTCGGAAGCCACAGGTCGGAAGCCACAGGGGGAGCTACACTGCCCGTGCTACGTGAGGCACCTGCAGGAGCCTCCATGGAGCAGCTGTGAAGCCCAGGAACAGTGCTGCTGGCTCCGCTGCCTGGGCACTCAGCCCACGACACTGAAGCCCCCAAGGCTGGCCCCACCCCCAGCCGTGGTCCTCACCACATCCGGCAGGTGCGGGGATAGTCCTCGTTCCTCGAGCTCACGCCCATGGGCAACACAAACGGCTGGCCCTTGCCAGACTGGGCTAGCTGCTCAGCCGCAGCTGCTCCATCTGCAGGCTTCCTGCTGTCCTCAGCGGGCGCTGCGTCCGCCTCCCTAGCTGCCTGCTCCTGGGGCAGGGCCGGGCCCTCGCTGGGCTCCTGCTGCTGCTCCTGCCGCACCTGCTCTCGCACCTCCAGGACAATACGCGAGAGCTCATTGAAGTTGCGGAGATTCTCAATGTCAGGCAGCTGGATGCGGTGTCTCAGGTCGACCTCCACCGTCTGCTGCCCGGCAGGGATGTTGGGGTCACCCTGAGGAGCAGGCAGGTGATAGTCAGTGCCCTTAGACACCCAGAAACACTGCACAACCTCCAGGCCAAATATGCCCTGGCCCCATGAGCATACGGTGGCTCTGCCTCCGATATGCAGCAATTCCCACAGAACCAGGGTTCAGCTGCCCTTGCATCCACACCAGTGGGTAGCCCCATATGGGGTCTGGAGATGGAACAGCAGTGCTGAGGAGCAGCGTGAACAGTGACCGGGCAGCCTGCTAGGCATCTGGCTGTGACACACATATCCACACCTGTGCTCAGACCCTCGGGGGAACTGGCCAAGGACCGTCCCAGGGTCTGGGAGCCGGGCAGCAGGCCCAAGGGCAGCCCAGACTTGATGCCTGGGAAGCACAGCTCCCAAGCCAACCCCAGGATGTGCCAGCCCTGCAGTTTCACAAGGGCACAGGGGGCCAAAGCCTGGGGTGGGGAGCATCCCACCATGTCAAGCATGGCCCTGGCTCCAGCCCTGTTCCATTAGGACAGTGATGGCGAACCTCTTTCAATGATGCATCGGCCCGCTGCGGCACACATGCCACAGGTCCCCGCCGCTGCACTAGGAGCTTCCCCAAAAGCAGAGGAAGCCCCAGGCTCCAGGAGCAGGCTGTGCCCCTCCAGGACCACAAGCACTGTCTGCCAGAAACCACCAGTCCCTGCTGGGTGACAGGGGAGTACGGTGTGACCACAAGCCCGGCCACGAGCAGCCACGTGGAGCAGCCTGCTGGGGCCAGGAGGGGGCTTCACCTGAGCTCACGGCAGGCCAGCCATGAACAGCCCCTCCCAAGCTGCCCAAACCATCGCAGCTGTGGCAGCCACACACCATGTCACCTGGAGCTTGGGGAGCCTCTCCTAGGCCCCAGACAGCCTGGGCTCAGGGTACCCAAGGGGAGGCGCGCAGGCAGGGGCCACCTACAAGTCCACGCCAACCCCAGGGCCTGCAGGGTGGCCAGGGCTCAGCATGGCATGCGGCCAGCGTGGGGGCACACAAACCCGGAACCTTGCGGAGCACAAGTTTGGGCCACCAGGGCTAGAGGGGACCAGAGAGTCAGCATCGCCAAGCTCCCTGGCAGGGCTGTGGCCACAGGGACCCGCAATGCCCAGTCCAGTGACTGCACAGACGAGACAGAGCCCACACGCTCGGCACCCCAGGCGGCAGCGACAGCAACAGCGACAGCGTGGCGGCGCTCACCGTGATCTTGGTGCCCCTGGCGCGGTGGCCATGGAAGCTGAGCATCACGATCTCCAGGCCATGGCTGCCGTAGGTGCCCTTGAAGAGGCCGGGCTTGATGAGGTCGTCCGGGCGGCTGGGCGGGAGGTAGATCCGGCGGTAGGTCAGGCAGTTGCTGTGGGCAGTGGGCAGGGCATGGGGCTCTGCTCAGCTGAGTAGGCGGCCGCCCACCCCAGCTCAGCACCCCACAGGGCTCAGGAGGCAGGCCCGGCACCAGGGACAGGAAAGAGCCCCAGGCCCCAGGCAGAAAGGAGCCCCCGGGCGGGACGGAGGGCACGCCCGGCAGGCCCCCAACTCACTCGTACTGACTGGTGTAGATGAACTTCATCAGAATGAGCTCCTGCATGTGCTCGTGGAAAATGTCCTCCAGCGTGCGGCCCCACTCCTCCCTCAGCCACGTCCGGAACTCCTGCAGAGAAGGGCACACAGTCACGCACGGGAGCGAGAGGTGGCTGCTGCCACAACACTGAGTGCCCATCCGTGAGTGGGCACAGCTGCCCCCAAGGGGCCCCCGGTGCTGAGGCACCGCTGGAAGAGCAAAGACCTGGGCCTCACCTTCCGGGATGCGCAGGCCCTGACTCCCAATAGGTCCCCCCAGGCAAGGCCGGGTGGCAGCCGTGGGTGCTACTTCTGTGTCCACCGGGGACAAGAGGTAGCTACAGGGACCCAGCTCTACAGCACACAGCTCGAGCCTGGTGCTCAGGCTCCAGGGAGGCAGGGGCACAGCGGGATCCCTGTCAGGAAGCCCTGCCTGCAAGTCTGCCAAGGCCATGCCCAGGGGCTCCCACGAGGAGTGAGGCCTCCAATGGCCCAAGGGCTCCCACGGCCATGGCGCACGCTCCATCAGATCATGTACTTGTGACGAGGGAGCGAGGGTTTATGGTGCTCGGAACTCCTGCACGCTTTGCAATCAGACAACACTCAGCATGCCCGTGCCTAACAACCTGACTACACAATCAACCCTATTTATCCAAACCTCTGCGATGTGCTAGTTCTGACTGCTTGGAATGAGCTCCACAAACAGAGGCAAAAGCAACTTACAAAGGAAAAGAGAAACTCGGTCGGCTGCTTTAACGTTTTGCTGCCCTGCTCCAGGAAAGAGCAGGAATTGCTCCAGAGACAGAGTCACAAGGTGCGCAGGCAGAATGAACTCAGTTTTCATGCACTAGTAGCACAAACTGGGAAACAAAATTTTTAAAAATTCTCTTAACTGTATCCCCAAAAGCTTGAGACGGGAATGAATGTCACAGAGTATGTGGAACAGTAAGACTTCCGCTCTGAAAATCACAAGGCAGTGCTGGCAGCAGTACACGCGGCTCCGGGGACAGTCAGAGATTCATAGGGACAAAGGGCAGATGCTGGCTGGGCCTAGACTCAGGCCCCGAGGCCTGTCAGACGTATGGCATGAGCTCTTCCCCATCCCCCACTCTCCCACACCATCTTAGACACCTGAGAACCAGTTACTTCATCAAAGCTAAGGTGCCTCCACATCAAAGAACTAGCAGAAGACCCACCTGCTCCCAGTTTCCTGTGCTGGTCAGCTTCCTATCATTGTGATTAATAACAGACATACACAACTGCAGCGAGAGGTGTATCTGGCTCATGGTTTCAAAGAATCCCGTCCACGGTCAGCTGGCTCCCAGGCAGGAACATCATGGAGGAAGGGTGTGGCAAGGGAAAGCCACTCAACTCATGGCATCCGGGAAGCAGACAGCAGGAAAGCCAGAGAGCAAGGGGCCAGGTCCTGATGGTGTCCCCGAGGCCACATCCTCGTGACCCACACCCACCCACCCAGCAGTGTATCCTCCCAGGCATCTCTCACGCCAGCCAAGTTGCCAATCCAGTGCACTGGTCACACTCCCACCGCTGTACGGCAGCCAGCGCTGAGCACCAGACTGACTGCCATCGCCCTGTGGATCTGGCTGATTTTCAAGGCAAGTGGCCAAGCCCCCCCTGGGGAAGGCAAGTCTTCACCCAGGGATGCCCAGACGACTGGACACCACATGGAGGAGAATACACGGCAACCCCTGCCTCACACCACACCAGACGTGGCTCGAGGCCACAGAGACCACCCAGGAGGCAAACAAACCCCAGACCAGGCTGCCCATCCTTTGCTTTGAGGGGAAGGAGACCAGCTCGGGACCTGGGGCCAAAGCCTTTCAGAACACAACCACTCAGCCAAAGGATGTGACAAATTGGGCCATCAAAACTAAACATTCCATTAATGTGGCTGAACTTAAACGGCGAAGATTTTAAAACTCAAACATAAATAACAGATACAAATGAAAAGAACAGGATGGGCTGAGCAGATTTCAACATCACCATGCCAGCCGCCTTCAACTGAGTACCATCCAGAGGGTGCCCCGCCCTGGGTGCAGTCAAAACCTTACTTGCTTGGCATGAAGGTCAAAGTCACCAGGAATACCAACCACACCCAGCGACTCAGAACAGAGGTCTCCCAGGTCCTTCACTACAAATCCTCTCGTAGGAGCAAGCATGCATTCAAAGGGAACACTGGAAGCCAGCCCTGGTGGCACATGCCTGTGATTCCAGCACGTGGGAGGCTGAACCAGGAGGATCGTCATAGAGTTCAAGGCCAGCCTAGGCTCCATAGTGAGTTTGAGGCCAGCCTGAACTACACAGTAACACCTGTCTCCAAAAAAAAAAAAAAAAATTGGGGAGGGGGATACTGAGAGCCTGGACACACAGACCAGAGTAACTTATTCAGGACTGGGGCTTAACCCAGGGCCTTCACAGCGCTGCAGTCCCCAAGCCCTTTTGTTTTTTGAGATAAGGGCTCACAAAGCTGCCCAGGCTGGGCTCAAGCTTGGGATCCTCCTGCCCCAGGCTCCCAAGTAGCCGGGATTACTGGCCTTTTCCACCATGCCTGGCTCACAAGAACTTTTTCCCATCCCAAAGTAAACAAGATACTGTCTTTTTTTTTGGTACCGGGGATCAAACTCGGGATCTTGCACTTGTGAGGCAGGCGGCGGCACCGAGCTAAATCCCCGGCCCTAAAGTCACATTTAAACTCACAACTGCCAAAGAAAAACCATCTCCGCCATTTACCACCTTCAGCTGCATCACTAAGAAAGCTGGCGTGTCATTTACCTTCAAAGGATTCCAAGAAGCACATGCACTGTTTATCTCCGCTCCCCCTGCAGTTCTCTGGCTTAAGGAGAAACCCCAGCAACCGGCTAAGAAATGTAAGAAACGGACACTACCACAAGCATCCTGTACACACCAAGTTCAAGTTTCTCCTAAACAGTTTCAAACGGCAGCATGACTTACACCCTCAAAATTCTAAAACTTAAAAGCAACATAAAATTACTTACACAACAGGAAGCCAGGCACCCAGGTTTCCACTGCACTAAACCACGAGGTCCACCAAGGAAGGGAGAACCCAGGGGCTCCTCCTGCACCTTGGCTTTAGAAGCCACTGCCAGCCATCCCTGAGAGCTGGGTGCGCACCCCTGGGCAGAGTAGAGCTGGGTGCCAGCTCCATCTCTGGATCCCTCGTTCCAGTCACTCTGAGGGTCCCTGCACACCCACATGACGCTGTTTCTAAAAGGTCCATCGGGTGTGTCTCCTGAAGGGTCAGCCTGTGGCTGAGCTATGTCAACTGAGTGTGCTGGTCACACAGTGGCAATCAGAAAGCACGCAAGCTCAACATAGAGAGGCCAGGCCAGGCGCTGCCTCCTCCTGGAGGCCTGGGCTCACCTCCTGCCTCCCGCCAGACATCCTGTGGTGGTCCGTCTGGTTGCACTTAGTGGAGAACTCATCCTTCTTCACTATCTTCAGTGTCACAACGGGAGGAAAAAGGACAAGAAGGAATAGCAGGTTAGTCACAGACCGGCAGACCGCCACGGTCCCCTCCTCATCTGTACCCACCAGACCCATCTACGGATGCCCAAGGGGGTTCTGGCAAACTGTCCAAAGGAGGGCGCTCTGCACTGCCCCACCAGGCACCCCAGGACAGGCCCAAGTCTTCTCGGAGGGCTTGAGTGGCAGCCAGTGCTACACGACACACCGTGCTTCAGACTTCTGCACAGGACGGGCAGTGGACAGGAGGACCCTTCCCCCGTGCCCGCTGATCTGTATGGGGTGGGCCTGCAGCTGAGGATGCCCCAGCCCACTCGGCTGGCCCTGCCAGGACAGCACGGGACTGTGCTGAGCAGGAGCCCACCCCTCACCTGCTCGCCCTGTCGCTGTCTCAGAGAGACCCACCTGGATGTGGCCATTGTGAGGCCCCTTGTGGCCATACATACACTCCACCGTGGCCAACTTCCTCTCCATCAGGTGGATTCGAAACAAAGGCTTGAATCGCATGGGGTCATCCACGTGAGGGTCATGGGGCGGCAGGTACATCCAGCCGATGATGAACAAGCCATCCACCTGCGGGAGGACAGCCAAAGCCCACGTGTCACCCTCTACCTCCCTCTGCTCGCTGACCCCAATCGAGAGCCACAGGCAACAGCATCCGGAGCCCAGGTCCCGTAGGATGCTTGTGAGGTCTGGTGGCCCAGAGCATCCAGGCGAGGCCCCAGAGCCACCTGATCCTGCCCTTGCAAAGCCCGGCACACAGGGGGAAGGCTGAAGAACTACCTACAAATAAAGCCTGGCCACTGAAAAGTCACTGGATGAGAAGTTTCTCTGAATTCCCTCTCTGCTGTCAGATAGAAAGAGAAGTGGCTTGTGCCCTGCAGAAAAGGCCCCGAAATTCCCCGCCCCTCGCAGGTCTCCCTGACTCACCACCACATTCAGTAGTCCTCCATACGGCCCAATGTCTGGCTGCCACAATCCCAGAATGTGTCGGTATCGGTGAAGCACTGTGGGGAGACGGGGACAGGCATCCACTCAGAGCCTGCAAGGAGAAGGAGTGACCCTGCAAGATGGGTGTGTCCACTAGGCCCCAAGTGCTGCAGGGAAGGAAAGGAGGCTCGGAGGTGATGGACGCCCTGCACAGAGCCACACCCGTGGACTCTGCACACTGAGTGAGGAGCACAGGGGGCAGGGATCCATCCTCCCTCCCAGGACAGCTGCTCCCGCACGGCCCTGACTGCCAGCTGCAGGGCTGGGGTCTGCAACCGTGGGAGTCACGGATGGTTTCTGAGCACTGACCGCAACAGAGTGAAGGAAAGGAGGCCAAGAAGCCAGGTCACTGCCTTGTCTGGGGTCAGGGAGGGAAACAGCCCAGGCTTCCGGGCAGGCACACAGCTGCAGCTGCAGGAGAGGCCCCGCCCAGCACCTGCACTCAGGAGGGCTCCGAAGGACACAGGGCGATGAATCCCCCCAAGCACCTCCCTTTCAGATCACTCCAGAGTCCCTTACAAAGCAGTGGAGGCGGGGTCCTTGCTCCACAGCCACACCTTGTCAGGTCTGTGTCTGTTTACGGGTGAGGAGCTACAAACACACACTGAACTCCAGACAGTGAAAGGCTCGCAGGAGGGGCGGGGAGAAGCACACTGATGGTGACTGTGACCTGTATCAAGCTAACAGAGGGATGGACGGAGGGATGGACAGCCACATGACAAGGACATGCAGCAGAGCCCGGGTGGGAATGGGTGCTCAGAGTGTAACTCCTTCAACTTCTCTGGATGGTTTCGCAAAATACTGGAAAAACAAACAACAGCAGACCACATGACTGTCCAGCCTCTCAACTTTACAGCTAGCAATGTCTGGCTCCTTCCAAAATTCATCTTGATGTCAGAGCCTCCAGAAAGCCTGCAGAAAGAACACACCAATCACTGGTGTTAATTTCAAAACCAGAGTGCCCTGTCTTGCTGAAAAGCACCATCAAAAATAAATATACAAGGATGGGCCAGGGGTTTAGCTCAGTGGTTCTGCCACCTGCCTTGCAAGCGCAAGAATCTGAGTTCGATCAACGATACCAAAAATAAATAAATAAATAAATAAAAATAAATATACAGGGGCCAGGGATTTAGCTCAATGGTTCTGCCGCCTGCCTCGAAAGCGCAAGGTCCCGAGTTTGATCCCCAGTACCAAAAAAAAAAAAAAAAACAGCCTCAAATACAAGCCCCAGGACACCTGGCTGTGCCTACCAGGTTCCTGGCCTGCACACTAGTTAAGAATTGGGCCAGGTGTGGTGGCGTGCGCCTATAATCCCAGCATTTGGAGGCTGAAGCAGGAGGACTGCCACATGTTCGAGGCCAGCCTGAGCGACATAGTGAGACCCTGTCTCAAAAAAGCCAAAAGAGCCGGGTGCACCTTCCGTGCCCAAGGCTGGCTGACCTGGCACTCAGTGACCCCGACAATGTGGGGCCACACATGCTGTGAGCACACTGACCAGGAAGTGAAGCCTGTGCCTCATAACCTATGCTTTAAAAAGTTAAATCATATCAGAATTGAGCCCTCAAAAACCAAGGCTGTCCCAAAAGCAAACGCCTTTGTTCAAAAGACAGGAATCTGCACTGGAATCTCGCTGCCACCACAGTGGGTGGAGCAGCAGGTGCATGAGTGTGGCCTCGACTGGCCCGCCACGTCTGTGAATGCACCCACACCAGCCGAGGAACCACGCTCGCATGCTCCTGTGTGCCAGAGTCCAGAGCAGTGGCGACACCAGGCAGCACCCCAGAGAGCGGCCCCTGTACCATCCCACACCAAGGCTGTCAGCGGGGTCAGGGAGAAGAGCTTATTGTTCAGGGCACAAAAAGAAGACAGTGATGTTGTACTGCCATTTACGGTGGCAAAATGGAAAAAGTTAAATTGCATTTCAGCATTTTCAAATACATTAAATTATAAATAACCATCTGTGCCGTGGTTCTGTGGTGGCCCCAACAGCCGACTCGGTGGCTGAGCGAAAGGAAGCCAGACGCGGAGTGTGGCAGCAGCGGTGCCAAGCCTGCAGCGCGGGCGGCGAGGCACAGAGAAGGCAGATAGTCCCACACAGGTTGGCTCTGTCCCGTCTGCTCTGGGGACCCGGAACATCACAGCACTGTTTGTGAGACCGAACGACAAACTTCCCGAGAGTATGGAGACAGGAGAGTCTGGAAGAGCATGACTCCACTAACAAGGTGGACGGGGACACTCAAGGCCCTAGTGGGTGCTTCAGTGCTTGTTACTGGAACTGGGAATGGCATTTTCCTGGCTGAACTTGGCAAAATTTGGCTTCTCTGATATTATTGGAACTGATTATTCTCCATCTGCCAACTCAGCTTTCCGGAAATATTACAGAAAAAGAAGGGTTGGGCTGGGGATTTAGCTCAGTGGTTTCACCGCCTGCTGCGCAAGCGCAAGGACCCGAGTTCGATCCCCGGTACCAAAAAAAAAAAAAAAGAAAAAGAAGGGTTATCTAACATTAAATTGAAGGTAGAAGACTTTTTGAATCCTTCTACAAAGCTGTCTGGATTTCATGTTTGTATTGACAAAGGGGCTTTTGATGCCGTAACTCTTAATCCTGAAATGCAACTGAGAAGAGGAAGCAATATGGGAAATCCCTGTGGCATTGAAAGTAAAACGCTTTTTTCTCATAACCTCATGTAACTGGACCAAGAAAGAGTTGCTAAATGAATTCTGTGAAGGACTTGAACTTTTCGAAGAGCTGCTTTGGAGGCAGATCTGGAAATAGTGTAGCAGCATTGGTTTTTCAGAAAAAGTGACTTTTTCTTGGGCAGATTCGGGTAACTTTTTATTTTTTGGTACTGGGGATTGAACTTGGGACCGTGCGCGGCACCACTGGGCTAAATCCCCAGCCCCAGGTAGTGGTTTTTTTTTGGTACTGGGGATCGAACTCGGGTTCTTGAGCTTGCGCAGCAGGCAGTGAAACCACTGAGCTAACTCCCCGTCCCCCCCCAGGTAGCTTTTTAAAAGAAGCTACACAGTAAAGTACGCCTAATACAGAAAATACAAGTGCAAATAAATGTTTAGTTAAGTACACAGGATACACATGGTGACAAAAGATGAGTACATAAGTGGTTGCTTTTAAGAGACTGACAAAGAATAATTTAAGTTTGCTTTTATACTTGAAATGTAAATATTTTCCTTTGTTTACCTTAAAACAATTTCCTATAACTGCTAAACAGTTAAAAGCTTTAAAAGTAGTAAAAGAATTTACAAAAAAACATGTATTCTTGATTTTTGTGCTTTGGTAAAGTTGAATTCAATACAGCTGCTTAGGAAGATTTCACCAAACTACTCCAGGGCCAGAATAACAAAACAACTTTCTTAGAATTTTATTAAAATATGAAACATAGGGGCTGGGGATGTACCTCAGTGGCGACACACTTGCCTTGAGAGTGCAAGGTCCTGAGTTCAATCCCCAGTACCAAAAAAAGGGAAACATAATAAAAAATACTATTTTGAGTCCAATGCTGATTACTTGTAAAATAGTTTAACAGCTGTGAAGAACTTCCTGACCTTCACATCTATAACTAGGAAAAATCAGAGAAATGTATCCGCTGACCAGGAAATATTTATTGCCAGGCTTGGTGGCACATGCCTGTAACCCCACCATTTGGGGACTCAGGCAGAAGGATGGCAAGTTTGAAGCCAGCTTGGACTACATAGCAAAACTCTGTCTCTTGCCAGGGATTTAGCTCAGTGGTTCTGCCACCTGCTGTGCAAGCGCAAGGACCCGAGTTCGATCCTTGGTACCAAAAACTCTGTCTCAAAAAACAGAAACCAAACTAAAACAAAAAAGAACTGAATTTTGTCATTCTTCTGGGAGAGGGTAGTGTCGCTTGGCTAAGCCCTCAGGGATACAGAGACAAATGCTCTAGTTAGGGGCGAATTGAGCAGGACGGCAAGTTTATATATTGCTTTGAAAAAACAAGGAGCCTGGAGATACAGCTCAGGTATAGCATTTAGCAGATACCCAAGCACTGCCAGAGTAACAACCACAAAGGTCATACTCAATGCCATTTTGCATTGGGGTACTGTTTTAATATTGGAGTCATAATGCAAAGCTTTTAAAAGTTATGTAATTTTGATGATTTTTCAGCTTTTGGGGCCTATTGGATTATAAAACTATTTTTGTTATTTAATAAATGTTTCTCCATTATTTTTTTTAAAATTACAGATAACCCACAAGCAGGAAACCCATCTCCTTTAACCTCAACTAACGTAACAAGCAGCCGAGAACTCCACCCGGACAGCAGGAGGGAGTTGGGAAGAGAAGAACCTGCAAGCCGAAGACCTGGCTGTCCCCACAGCAAGGGCGACTGGTGCTGTGCCCACAGGCAGCAGCAGAGTTCCAACAGCTGGCGGGAGGCCACCTCGGTCTCCAGCAGGTCTGTGTGGCTCTGTTCAGCACCGGGGCGCGCACAGCCGGTGTCGGAACCAGCCCAGGGACCCCTGCCTAGGCCTGCTGCTCACCCCGCTCGGGCCGGTCCTTGGGTGAGCCAGTGTGAGACTCCAGCACGCTGGCAAAAGCAGCTGGCCGTGCAGACCCGTTTATGCGTTCAGGTCTGTCAGTCACTGACGCGCAGCCCACAGGGGGCCCCACACTTCACTCAAGCAAAACTGCAATGAATGGGGTCCCCCAGGAGTGGCTTCCATATGCAAGGCGAAACCACAAGTGTCTAGGGAGGAGAGGGGGCTTGAGGGGGGAGTGGGATAAAATAAAATTAAATTTACCAGATAAAAAAATTAAATTAAAATTTTAAAGACACCACAGTGTCACAGGACTCGGCAGAGGCCTCGCCCACCCCAGCGCGCTCTGTGGGCGCCTAAGTGTCTGCGCTGCCTGGCACGGCCCTCCACACTGCAGGCCAGGGCTGGTGGCCCACAACAGTGCGGAGCTGGGCAGCTGGCCCTCGCCACACTCCGCAGTGTGCAGCCACCACTCCTTCCCACGTGCGGGCCACGAGTGCCCACGTTCCTCGTGCACCTCAAGCACTCAGCTCCGCCACGGACACCAAGCGCCCCGTCAACACACCACGGGGTTCTCAAGTCAGACACTCTCTAGGCGCCATCCACACACACACAAGGCGGCCACCTCAGGGACAACCCACTTCCCACAGCACTCCCACACCCTGCCGGTGCTGTCACAGGAAAATCAGCTGCCGACACAGCCAGAGGGAAACAAACGTGAGCCCAGAGAGTGGATCCACGGTGGCGATGCTGCTCCTCAGAGCTCATCCCCAGCCCGCTCAGTGCTGCTTGCTCTCCCCGACAGCAGCCCGCAGTCAGGTCTTGGGCTGGGGCTGTTGCATTCTTTCTCAGCCATGAAGACTTTCCAGGAGGCCAAAGGGCCAGTCCTAGTTAGCTCCATCCAGAGACATGCCAACCCACTGGGGAAGCCTCTGCAATTTTCCGAATTTCCCAAGGTCCTGCAATGTGTTTTTATAACTGCATCAAAACCATGGGGGCCAGCAGGTCTCTGCCCCACTGGGCTGCAGCAAGGACAGTGGGGACATCGAACATGGGTGACGCCCAGGAGCCGGCTCAGTGACCCGCAGAAGCACGGAGGAGCTGCACACAGGCGCCTCCTTGTGTGCTGCAGAAAGACCCGGCCACCCACCGCTCCTTCTTGGGGACAAGAGTGTGCCTGGTACAACTCAGGGGCTTTTGGGTCCCAGTGGCCAAGACTCCACTCCAGCTCCACACTGCAATTCCGGGCGGGTTGTTGTTCCAGAAGAACTGCGTGGCAGAGGGGGCACAGGGAGGCCTAGCATCTGTCTGTCCATCCAGAGAAAAAGGTGAGGTGTGGAGGCTGCCCAGTGCCCATCCATCTGGACCCCATGGCCCATGCCAGGCCGCTCCCAGCAGCACAGCGGGACCAACTATTCTCATCGGTTCTTGCTACATCCACTGTGCTCTCCCCGGGGCTGGGGGTAACCACAGGCTCAGCGCTGACCAGGGAGGGCAGGGTGGGCTAGGGCAGGAAGTTCTGGAGAGGCTGTTTCCTCCCACATGTGGAGAGCAGCCCTCACCTTCACGCTCTGCCCACCCCCCATGCCTGAACTCGCTACCCTCCTGCCTCAGCCTTCTGAGTAGCTGGGATTATAGGTTGGTGCCACCAAGCCCAGCTAGGAAACTGGGCCTTTCCAAAGCTCAGCAGGGAATCTGCTCCAAAAGCAAGGCTGCATTGTGGGCTCCCGATGGGCTGGGTGTCAGGCAGGCGGCCTCATGTGGTCCTGGACACTGAGTTCAGTCCTTAGTGCGAGCTTGGTATCATCCATGTCTTCTGTCTCAACTGAGCTAACAAGTGGAGAGGGCCTGCGTTTCCTATAACTACAACTTAATCAGCAGAGGATTCAGTCCTAAAGGGGCAACTGTGGTTGCCTGCGTTTGTCTACATGTGGGAGTGTTCTCTTTAAACTCATATTCGCTCCTTACACAGGACCAAGAAAGCTTAGAAACTTGCATTTCATCATAGGACGGAAAGGTTTCGGGCCTTTGCTCCTCTGTTCTCCAGCCTGCCTGACCTTTTGCAGGAAGTATCCTCCAGAAGTGACAGGTCCCTCGGTGCTGCCCAGGACCCCAAGCTGCTGTGGAGACTTGACCAGTGTGCAGCCGCCCAGGCTCCCTCGGGGTGTCACTGTAAACCACGAGCCACACTGCAGCCCAGAGGCAGCGAACGCCACAAGGCCAGCTCGCTTCCGGGTCTAAGCAGCAGCGTGTGAGGCCCAGGCCCCCATGCACCCGCAGCTGTGCCGCCCGAAGCCAGAGGAGCGGGGTACGTACGGCAGGTGTACACGTCCCTGTACTCCATGTGCTTGTAGTCGGGAAGGATTCTCATGAAGCGCCCTGACTTCACGTGCGGGTTTACACCTGAAGACACAGCAGGAAAGGGCTGAGGAGGGAGCCTCCTGTCCCCCAAGGCTACACGGCATGATGCCATTCCCTCCTGGATGTGCAAACCCCAGCACACGTGTGTGCCAGGCTAGCAGAGCTGCCGGGCAGGACATGCGTGATGGAGGACTCCCCCAGAGATGCCCGACAGCCCGGAAGCTCAGAGCTCTCCAGGCTGCCACACTCGCCCAGGGCCGGGGTGGGCCCAAGAGTACCAGGCTGAGCTCACTGGGCCCGAAGGGAGAGCAGGTGTGGTGGGGGTACCTGCCCCACTGGGACACTCATCCAGGGTGGGCCCAGGTCCCCTTGTCCCCGGGGCACGTGCACGGTTTCCTAAGGAAGGACAATTCCCAGCCTCCTGACTAAAACTGACTAGGCCCTGCACGGTAACACGGCTGATTTTCTTCCCCACCCATCTGTCCCCAGAGCTGGGCCATTTTCTCAGAAGTTTCAAGGCAAGTTCACAATCACACGGCTCCCACGGGTGGAGATGGACCTGCAGCGTGTGGCCAGGGCAGACCAAGTGGTCCAGGCCGGAGGGTCAGGAGAGGCAGGGGAAGGAAGCCCCTGCTGCCCTTGCTTGCCCTTCGGTGCTGCTCTGCCCTGCCCACAGTCTCTGGGTCACCTTGCCAGGCTGCTTCCCCAGGACAGGAAGGTGGAAGGCACCCAGGTGTCTCCTGCCGGGGTGCCTGTGTGTGCGTGTGTGTGACTGTGACTGTGCTGTCTGGAGCTTAGACCTGTCCCACGCTGCTCTGCCTGACGTGGACAGGCACCTAACAAACCTGGAGAGCAGCTGGGAGGAGGAAGCCCACTGACCTCGCAGGGGGAGTGAAGAGGGGCAGCTGGGGAGGCCTGAGCACCGAGAGTGCAGGGTGACTTGGGAAACAAGAAGCAGGGTGCTGGGGCTGGCCCTGCCTAGAGAAAACTCAAGGGAAAGCAACACTCCAGGAGGAAGCGAGGCACAGTGCGGGGCAGCGCTCTGAAGGCTGAAGGAGCCCGCACAAGCCACTGTGGGTCTGGGTTTCTCGAGGCTGTCCGTGTCTTGGCAGGCTGGGGGAGCAGGACTCCAGGCGGCTGAGACCTACGGGTCGTGAAGGTGGGGACAGGTGCAGCTGCAGGCAGGGTAAGTCCTGAGGCTCTGGGCACCTCGGATAAACACGACTGCCGACAGCTGTGTATTTCAACACAGTGGGGAGGTTCTCAGGTTTCCCAGATGCCAGAGGTGACAGGCGTGCTAATACCCTGACCTCATTGATCATGTTGCATATATGCACTGCAACATCACACTGCACCCCATAAACATGTATGATTATTATGAGTCAGTTAAAAACAAAACCTAAGGGCCGGAGGTGTAGATCAGTGGTCGAGTGCTTCACTAACATGCACAAGGCCCTGGGCTGGATCCCTAGCACCCCCCAAAAAATAAACATATATATGAAATTTAAAAAATGCAGGTTCTTGATTGCAGACACAAAATCCCTTTAACCACGACGGACTGAAAAATGCAGTTAATGACAGGCCCAGGAGAACACAGAGCCGCCACCCACTGCAGTGCCACCCCGCCGTGCTGCATCTGGGGTGCAGCTGGGGCTCTAAGCGGCATCTGAGAAGAAACAATGGCACCCCAGTCACCTCATGATGGTTTATAGAGACAAAGCCCACCGAGCATGGCAACAGAGATGGACTCACGCTTTGCGTAGATATCCCGGCAAGACAAGCCCGTGATCTCCATCTTCCGCAAGTTCTCACAAACGCCGTACTCTGCAATGAGAGATATGTGTGAAAGGTTAGAACTGAACATCACCAAGGGACAGACGCAGACAGACTGATGGCAGCAGGGAGAGGACAGGTGGGCAGTGCATGCAGAAGCCTTGGCCTGTTCACGGGTCTGGTTCTGTCTTCCACCCAGCGACTTCTCAGTCAGCTACCAAGGAAGCCGCTCTTCTATCCTTGGCCGTGCCACCCTCCATGAGACATGGCCCTCACTGTCCTCAGTCTCACTGCACAAATGGAACCTGACAATTCCAGTTTAAGCACAAGGTGGGCAGAAACTCAGCTGTTTGGAGATAATGCATGTTCCCATGGAACCAGATCAGCACAGGGGTCAGGGGTCCAGGTGGCCACAGGGCCTGCTCAGCCCAGGGTGGCTCAGCACTGCAGGTTCTGCTCCACTCAGCCATGAGGCCTGTCCTCAGGGACGCTGGTGAGATGCTGGGAAGAGGACACTGGCACAACAGCACTGCCTGCTTCCTGCTCTCTGGCTCCTTCACCTGCCGCTGCCCCACCCCAACCACCACCTGTGCGTCCCAACCAAGCCCAGGCCTCTGGATCAGGTCTCAGCTGGGCTGGAGACAAAACCACAGTACACACCGCTGGCCACTGCTGGCACCGCCAGCACTGCGAGGCTGGGCCCACTGTACTTCACGCTGCTGCAGGCCCAGAAGACACCACGCCTTACGCTGGGACAGTGGGAGCAGACAGGTGGGGATGTGACTGCCCACAAAGGGTGCAAGACAGCAGCTGGCCAAGGGCCCAGACCTGAAGCCCAGCGAGCATGTGGAAGGACAAGGGGCAACAGGGCCCCTGGGCTCCACGGCTCACCCTTCCTGGGTCACCCCGTGGACAGCACCGGGCCAGGGCATCATGGCCCAGCTGTCAAATCCTGACCGTGACCTCCAAGGGGGAAACTGAGGCCCCACGGGGCTGGTGATCGGCACTCCCTCCGGGGGCACCTGAAATGAGTTCTCAATGCAGCCTGGTGATGAACTGTCACTTCCGGGTCCCACCCAGAGGTCTCCCAGATGGAAGCCACCAGCCCTGACAAACTGGGCACGGCAGGATCCCGAAAGAATTCAAAGCCAAGCCCCAGACAAGACCAGCAGAGGCAGAACAGAACTCCTCGGGGACTGGGGACCGAGGCATCCTACAGCTCCAAGGGCCTCATCCCTGCCACGGAGGGCCTGGGAAGGCAGGGCCTTGATCAGGAAGCTCCAGCCAGGGCTGCCTGGGGCGGCTGCACATCTGAGCCTGCCTGGGGAGACACTCTGGTGCAGCTCTGTGGAGAGGGTGACCCAGGTGCACAGGTGCAGCATGTGGATTCAGGCACAGCCAGGCCCGGTGACCTGAGCCTGGGTCTAGACCAGAGCTGCTGCAGGAATAACACCAGCTCGGGGTAGCTTAAACATCCCAGGAGCCACATCTACCTGGTAAAATCAGACAGGTAAGGGTTGAAGGAGAGGCTTGGCAGGAGACTGCTTGCCTAGCACAGGCAAGGCCCTGGGTTCAGGCCCAGCACAAGAAAAAAACAGCCGGGCACTCGGGAAGCTGAGGCAGGATTGTGAATTTGAGTCCTGCCTGGGCAACTTAGCAACACCCCATTATAAAATCAAAATAAAATAAAACAAAATAAGGGGAGCAAGGATAGAGTTCAGCACTCCTGGATTCAATGCCCAGTACCACTCCAAAAAAAAAAGAAACAGAGAAAGACAAGTAAAACTGACATTAATAATACATCTACAGGCATAGTGGCACATACCTGTAATCCCAGCACTCAAGGCTGAGGCAGGTGGGTCGCTGCAAGGTCAAGGCCAGCCTAACTATATAGCAAGACCCTGTCTCCAAAAAATGTGTGTGTGTGTGTGTGTGTGTGTGTGTGTGTGTCAATACAAATGAGCCCTATCACCTCATTATGCAGTCAGCACTGAGTCTCTTTCCTCTTAATCCCAAGCCTTAGAAAGCTGGTGTGCCCATCACATCACAGGGCCCTGCACCACACAGGGCAACACAAAGCGTTCGCTGAGGTCCCCGCAGCTGCTTCGCTCCTACATCTGCTGCTGTTCTGTATCGTGAAGAACTCAATGCTAGACAGCAACAATGTCCCAAAATAGAACAAGAACAGTAACCGGAGTCCTTCACCTTCCTGGCTGGCAGGCCACCTGCCCCGGTGAGGAGTGGAGCTTCAATGCTCCCTCCCTGCAGGCACCGCCCTCTCGCTGCCTAGTGAGAGGGTGTTCCCAGGCAGAGGCAGGAGCTCCTCAGAGGCGTCCTCCCACCCGGAGTGAGACCAGGCATCAGGCGTGCAGGCCTTGCTCCGCGCTCCCAGCCATCTGGGCTGCGCAAGGCCTCCGGGCCACAGTGCACTGTCCCTGTGTTGTCCTTCCTGGGGAGCACTGCAGAACAAACTCTGGTTTTTGGTTTTAGGTTTCTTTCCACCAAGTGTTTTTTGCACACACACACACACACACACACACACACACACACGTCCTGAGAGTCCTCTTTGGGCTGCCTCAGTGTCCTGAATCCACTCAAAACGCTGCCCTTTCGTGGTCATTTCGGCTTTGGGAAGACCTAGAAGTCGCAGAGCACATGATCTGGTGAATGGGGCGGATGAGAACAGATTGTAAAGCTTGACAAGCCCTACCCAGTGGGAGGCACTGGGAGCAGCACTCACTGTATTTTTTTTTTGGTACCGGGGATCGAACTCAGGTCCTTGCGCTTGCGCAGCAAGTGTCGAGACCACTGAGCTAAATCCCCGGGCCTCACTGTATTTTTGATCATATCTTATGAAGACACGAGAGCACTTCCAGAACTGCTTCAGAAAGTGGCAAAAATGATGGGCTGAGTGTGTGCAAAGCCAGGGGGAGGATGCTGAGGGAGATTAATGGCAGTGTGCCTCTACCGCAATACATTTTTTAAAAAATTTAAACATTCACTGTATTTTTCAATCATGCTGTGTATTTGTGTATATGTGTTTGTGATTTTATTTTATTTTCCTTTGCAGTACTGGGGACTGAACCCAAAGCCTTCATACTGAGCTACATGCCCAGTCCTTTTTATTTTTAGACAAGGTCTACTAGGCTGCTAAATATCTCAGGCTGGGCTTGAACTTGCAATTTTCCTGCCTCAGGCAACTGAGTGCTGGGATTCCAGGCAGAATATGTTGTTATTTACTACACTTGTATTTAGAGTTGTTTACTTTTATCTTAGTCCATTTTCTGTTGCTAATCACACAGTATCGCTGACTGGCTAAGTCATAAAGAAGAGAGGTTTGTTCTGGGCTGGCGTTGAAAGGCCCCTCGGCAATAGTGCCCCTGCTGGCAGTCTGAGGAGGCGCAGGACCTCGCCTGAGGCCAGACCCAGCCTAGCCGCCTCCAGGTAGCCCCCCGAAGATAACCTATGGCCCACTAGCCACGCAAGAAGGCAGAGCACTGCCGGCTGTACGGTGCCACTTCTTACATCTTATGATGGGGGTGAAACGCCAGCATGTGCTTCAAGGGGGATGAGCCACAGTCGACCAGAGGGCCCCTCGTGTCCCCTTCTGTTCTGGGTCCCACAGGGCGCTCTCACCACTCGGGGACCTAGTCTCCCTGGGCTGCTCTGCACCAGGACGGCAGCTCAGCCTCCCCTCGCTGTCAGTGACCATGAGGGAATCTCGTGTGCCACTCAGGGGCTGCGCAGTGTCCCTCACCTGCCTCCCCTCGGGGAGTTGGGCCAGAGTTAGTTATCATGAAGAAGATCCACACTCCAGAGCCCTGCAGCTGCAGTGCTTCTGCCAGGCTCGAGCCAGGGCCAGGGGTCAGGGTTAGGCTCTGCAGCCTGGCAGGCAGTGTTCCAAGTCCTCACTGCATCCGCTCTCAGAGGCAGAAGACCGGGAGCCTGACTTTGCATTGGTACAGTTTCATCCTATGTCATCAGCTAAGAGAAAACTCTAATTTGCTAAGAACCTTGCCAGAGATTGTTTAGACGCTCACACTGACACAAGGCTGCGATGGTATCGGATCACTACTCAGGAGCCTACCTCTCCAGCAGCCCAAGCATCCTACTGAAAGGCAGACCCTGACCCAGCAGGGGCGGGTGTGCCCAGGAGCTCGGGAGCCCCCAACGCTCCCCAACGGCCTCTGGACTCTCCCTCCTGCTCGCCACTCCCCCAGCTGCAACCTAAGCTCAGGCCAGGGAGGGGAGCACCCAGCACACCCTGCCGCCGTTGAGAGGGAAGCCGGTGTGACACCGGTGAGCAACCAAACCCAGGGCTCGAAGGTCACCAGACGAGACCCGGGTCTTTTCCTCCTGCCAAGATGAACTCGGACACCACGCTAGGGTTAGGCCAGTGACAGACCAGGCAAGGGGGCGGGGACAGTCCTGCGTGATGCGTGCTACGTGGGCATGTGCAGACCACCCGAGGGCTCCGCGGGGCCACCCAGAGGGCCATCTGCACGGGAGACAGAAGGTCCGCCCCACTCCCAAGAACAGCCCCCCCAACCGCTGGGCCCTCTTCAGGTTGAGCCTGTGGCGACCCAGGCCCCTCCAAAGAACTGCGTCGGCCCCCACTGCTCTGTCCCCACTCATGCTCTGCCCTGCTCTTGCACAAATGGCACGCGAACAACCGGTCAGCGCACAAGACGGATGCGCTGGCTTCAGCTTGGTTCCCTCGCAGAGGGGAAAGGACACCACTCCCCTTGGCCCCCAAGAGCCACCATGGACACAAGGCTGCCAGAGAGGTGATCCTGGGTCCAAGCGGATGCTCCGCTTCTGGGTGCCCGGTGCCAGGTCCAACACAGGGCACAGACCTACACACACACACACACACACACACACACACACACACCTGTGCCTGTGTTTACAGTGCCCGCTGATGCGGGTACCACATGCCTGTAATCCCAGCTACCTGACGGAGGAGTACTCCAAGTTCAACTTAGTGAGACCCTGTCTCAAAGTAAAAACAAATTAATTAAAAGGCCAAGAATAAAAGCAATCTTTGGTGG